TGGAGTAATGATGTGTCATTCCGTTGTACCTGCCCCCTGTCCCAATTTGGTGAACCTGCAGTGAGGAAACAATGTTTGATTTCGGCAGCTGCAAACGATTTCCGTCAAATAACACACGAACACACACTTGCTCATGCATGTACATCATCACCATCGTCATCAATAAGAGTCATTACCACCACAACAAATACCCAACATGTCCTTTACTGTCCCCCCCAAAACAAAAAACGGCCTCCGTGGCCCAAACAGAGCCAAATGTGAGACAGTCAAACAGTGGCTACATGTGGCTATCACATGTTACAACAAGTTACAGTGTACTTGGATAAAACTTGGCGTAGTTTTGGATCAAATGATTTTGGGGTTTACCGGTTTACCCTCCATTAAACTAATAGTTTGCTATGGAAAATTGACAATTTTTGGATGATTTAACTATTACAATAGTGATTTTCCATAGCCTTTTGTATGTTTACCAGAGGGTATATCTCCAACCAAGGCGCAGGGATCTGAAGCAAGTCCATCTTGGGAGCGTTTGCGGAACCCAGTTTCAGGCCTGAACGGTCCCTGGCTCCTCTCGCCACTTCCGAGCATGTTGCTAGAGATGGCCCGAAATACCACTTATAAGTGCTGACATAACCCCATTTATAAACATTAATATAATCCCATTTATAACCATTATAACCAGTTATATTAGCCATAACTTAAGTAGGAAATCTATAATCCATGATTCATCCCATGTATAATCCCATTATCCCATTAGGAAATCTATAATCAAAGAACACGTTCTTAAGCCGTGCAGGTCCGGCCATGTCCCGCCTTTCATGCCAGGTGTTTCAGTCAGGACGATCGTAGGCGCGACCTGGCCGGATGGGGATCACAGAGTTTGGGCACTTTTAAATCATCCAGTTGGGTATGACATGCATATATTTATTTATATATATATATAAAGACCACACACAAACACACACATATATATATATATAATTATAAAATATTAAATAAATATCATATAATATTATATACATATAAACATACATATCTAATTTTGACTCCTGCTGTTGTGACTCTGACACCCATCAAGCAGGCACTCTTACTGCAGGGGTCACCTTAAGTGGCTCCGAAAAAAGTCGCAGTGATCACAAAAAAAACCTGGGGCAGGACCCTTTTTTTGCCTTCACTATCTGTTGTAACTAGTGGCTGCACAAAAGGGTTCTTGGGAATGATTTATCATAGTCCCCTTGTAATGGCTGATAATTGTTCCTGGTTTATCACTGGGTTAAATTGGTTGTAACATGACATAATGACATAATATAATCATATATATTATATAATATATATATATATTATTCTTACTATTATTATTATTACATATATATTGCTCGTTAGATCCCCCGTTTTGCATCTCGTTGCATCCCATTCTTGCTGCTTTTTTTGCCCGCCCTGCTTGGGCTTCGGCATCTGCAGCAGCACTCCCCGCAGCAGCTGCATCGGCCACAGCCTCGAGAATGAGAACAATCATTGATGAGGATTTAGATCACCAGCAAAAATTGTTTCCACAAAATTCATCAAAATTCAGCAAGCATGGATTCACTAACTATCGAACTGCCACTTATGGTCATTTTTCCATGTATTCCGATCAAAACAAATGATGTTTGCTGGATTTTTGCGGCCCTTAGGCGCACCTCCGAGGACGCTTTGCGCTGCACTACTTTGCGTGAACCGCTGCGAGAAGGGGCGTCACCTTTATTTTGGGCAAGAGGGACCAAGTCTGGCATATGTTTCACAGGGGTTCACAAGAACAAGAACATTGCAAAAACATCTGGGAACAATTGGCCAACATAAATTTATGTTAATCTCCAGCATACAAATTTGGACGGATTTGGACGGCCTGAGTGTATTCAATTCAGTGGGAAGAAGTATGCCAGTTGTGGCTGGGCCCATCGTTCCAGGCGAATTCACCGCCAACAAAATCGGAAACGAACCGGAACCATCGGAACCGTCTTTAAATTTGGGTTTTACAGTGAGGTCCGTCAATTTGTCAATCACGTCGCCACTAGCTGGCAGATGTTCATCTCCCCACAAACCTCCATATTCAGGTCATAGTTTCCGGGGTATAGCAACTGACATGTGAAATACCCTCTGGTTATTTAACATAGCCATGGAAAATGGCCCATTTATAGATGGTTTACCTATTAAAAATGGTGATTTTCCATGGCTATGTTAAATAACCAGAGGGTAGATGTTGAAAACCCTTGGAAAAACGCCATGGTTTGCCTAGGAAAATGATCAACTGCTGGGTCGAACCCACATCGCCAAGGCGTGCCTTCAACCCCTTCAGCCTCGACTCCATCATCACTGTGGGCCTCGCGGTTGCCCATATGCTCCAGGCTCCATGTATGGAACTTTTTTTTATACCCACATTTACCAGACCGGAAGGCAAATATTCCATACATGGAGCATATTCAGAACCTATAGTAGCCACTGTCATTGTCCATGTGTGGCATCATTTCTCCGTCATTCATTGTGATTTAGAGCCCCGTTTTGAAAAGATGTAGGTCCCTCTGTGTCTCTCTGTCGGTCCCTGCAACTTGCTGGTGCATCTACCTGAATCTTTCAGCCATCTGGAATCCTGGTCCATAGCTTCATTCAAGGCTTCGTTGAGAACAGACGACCATGGTTTCCAACATACATATATATATATATTATTAGTCATCAAATTACAGCAATCATCGAGATCTATCGGGTATAGACATCTTCCAACTTCAAATATACAGTAATTATCTAAACAAAATGAAGATCTATAGGGATTCCAGAGATCTACCAACTGAAAAGCCTCGTAGGCCGACTTGTTGGGATCCGTCCGCACGGAGGAGGGGTCCTCCATTCATGGCGCGGTGCTACCCTTCGAAATGAAGATCAATTATGAAGATAACATGGACATCTATATGACATCTATATATGACATCTATATGACATCTATATGACATCTATATGACATCTATATGACATCTATATATATATATATTCTATGACATCTATATGACATCTATATGACATCTATATGACATCTATATGACATCTATATGACATCTATATGACATCTATATGACATCTATGTGACATCTATATGACATCTACATGACATCTATATGACACCTATATGACATCTATATATTATATGACATCTATATGACATCTATATGACATCTAGATGACATATGTATACCATCCGTATGACATCTGTATGACATCTATATGACATCTATATGACATGAACATATCATATATATGACATCTATATGACATCTATATGACATTTATACGACATCTATATGACATCTATATGACATCTATTAAAAAAAAAAAAAAACATCTATATATGACATCTATATATGACATCTATATATGGCATCTATATATGACATCTATATATGACATCTATATATGGCATCTATATATATATATGACATATATATATATATTATATATATATGGCATCTATATATGACATCTATATATGACATCCATATATGACATCTATATATGGCATCTATATATATGACATCTATATATATTATATATATATATATATGGCATCTATATATGACATCTATATATGACATCCATATATGACATAAATATATATATATATATATGACATCTATATGACATCTATATATGACATCTATATATGACATCTATATATGACATCTATATATAACATCTATATATGACATGTATATATAACATCTATATATGACATCTATATATAACATCTATATATGACATCTATATGACATCTATATGACATCTATACCACCTTCAGTGTTGGAATTCAATCTGCTTTTGATGGGAGGTTGGCCTCACGCTTCTATATGTTCTATCTTAGGGTCTTAGAGAAATGTCAATGTTGATCATGTACAATGGCACAAACGTTGGAATTGCTGTCCTACCCACAGCCTTGATTCAGTGGCAAGGTCAAGAAATAGATATATAATTGATATATACACAAAATTACAAGCCAACTAGAAACCTCAGGAGTTGTCAAAACGAGTATTCAAATGCAGTCTAAATTGATTAAATTCAGGAGATGGTAAAAATATCCGGAAGTATCCGGATGTTTCACCAACTGAAATCGTCGGCCATTTGAAATTTGGGCAATTTGGGGATGATATATACTGATATATAGTGGCAAAAAAAAACATCATACAGTAATTCATCCAGAAAGAGCGGCTCATCCAACGGTCATTTAGTGTAAGTAGCCCGGCCCCATCCGCCCAGAAAAATCGCTCCTTTTCATCCGACAGGAGCTCTTTGATTCTCACCTGCGGGGAGCTCAAGTTGTCAAGGTTTCCACACAGCCCAGTCCGGAATCTGATGATACCCGGCCTGGTAAACGTTTACAAAACGAACTGGAAAGATCCACCATTTTCAATGGGTAAATTCATGTAATTCCACTATTTCTATGGTCATTTTCAGTAGCTATGTAACAAATTACCATGAGGGTATCTGATGCGGTTTTTTTCAGCACCTGGAGGTTGTAAAAGAACAAACCAGCACATTGGATCATCATGATGATCACAGCCATGTCAATATTTTATCAATATTGAAACAAACAAAATCAGCAAGTTGATTCAGAGAACTTACTATATCCCAATCTTCATGGCCGAAAGTGGCTGATGAACCTCAACTAGGAAACTCCTTGTTTGGGTGTCTTTTCCACCTCCCTGCATTTAGCAGGAGAACCAAACGGCAAGACGCCATCAACAGCATTGTGCAGGGGTCATCCCCGTATCAGCCGAACAGTAGCCGAACCAAATATTTGCCTGCTCGCTGGCGTCCAATGCCTGACGTTCGATTTGTTGGATTTGGAAGTCCGCCCCTTAGGAATGGGGAAATGGGATGACTGATAGTGATTGTGGATCATTCCCCCATTCCCTACTATATAAGCACCAGTAAGCCACACTAATTGAGGGAGAAAACTAAGATAAAATCATGAAACTTCAAGTGGCTCTTGACAAAAACGTCTCCAGGTTCATCATCAGGTCCTCCACACGAAATGAGGACATCTCAACCCGAGTCATCACGGCACAGGAGTGGTGATGTCGCAACTGGCGATCACTCCTAATGTGAAGATATTAATGGTTTTTTCAATATAGATCCCCCAAAATCACACCTTCTCCACCCCTGCCCCGAACAAAATCTAATTACTGCAACTCACCAATGTTTTCTCACCAGGTGCTTCGAAGCCTCGTTCATGTCAATGTGGGCAGGGGACCAGGGTCGCCATTCATACCTGGCAGTGGTGATGTCCATTTCTGTTCCCTCACCACACGTATAGAAAAAACATGCAAAAACACGATGGCACAATGGTCAGTCCTCCTGGGGTCCCTCGCAAGGCTTTCACCAACAAACCAAATGGCCATGCTGCAGCCCCGCCCAAAATGGCAGAGGAAATCGCAGAAAAGCCTTGGCGCAGACTGGATCACAAATTCCTTAAATTGCAGTGATTTTTGCCGGTAAAAGGAGGCAAAACCCATGGTGGATACACATGACGATCCGACTATCCCAGGGCCAAATTTTGGTGCAAACCTGATCAAACCTGTGGATAAAATGCCGTGACTGTGACGACTGGTTACTCACATGAATCTTCACGCCAAAATAAATGTCCACTTTGCAAATTGTCTTCCAAAATAAAACGTTCAGTGGCCAACCTTACCTTCCAGTAGATTGATAATATGGAAAACCTCCAAGTTCCCAAAACAATGATTTACAAGCGGTGGGTTTTCCATAATTTCATTGTTAGCTAAATATTAAAGTTTATTGCAGTAGCTGGATCAGCTGGACAAATTATTACCCATAGGATCCATGTATACTATATATGGTAACATTTGCCATCAATATACCCCAAATGTTAGCATATATACCATACATGGATCCTATGGGTTATAATTCTCATAATTTGCACTAACCTGAATTCTTCGGCCACTTGAAGATGATTCCCCAAATTCTACCCTGGGGTTATTGAACGTAGCTCTGGAAAATCACCATGGTTAATAGGTAGGTAAACTAAATGGGCCATAGTTTCCAGTGCGTCAACTCATAAAATACCACCATAGCACTATAGCTATATAGATATTCCATTGTTAATCACAATTTTAATCAATTTTCCCCATGAAACTGGTGCTATTGGTGCTACAGCCTAGTTATCATGCTATATCCCTTTCCCCTTTCGGCCAACCATTGCTGAGCGCACCTAGGCGTGCCAGCAGCAGAGAAGCGCATCCCGTGGCTGAGGCACAGCTCGTGATCAACGTGACGATCTGCGCGGACGGCAACGCAACGGAGTGGATTGGTTTGACGAAAATTGCCAGATTTTGCGGTTAAAACCTAAGGTGAGATCAAAACGTACTCATCAATTTGATGATAATAACATCGGCACATCGGGGTTTGGCAATTCTTGTATTTATCATCATCTTGGACATGAAACATCATGAATTCTTTTTGTTTAACTCTGATCTCCTTTCACACCTGAATTTCTGCGCATGGCAATGGAACGGAGTTGAACGGTGGTGCCTTTTGAATCATGGGCACCTTTGCATCAGTGCTGTAGAGGCCCACGAACCTGAGCCCGATGGAGCCATCCATGGCCATTGCAGCAGGTTTTAGGCCATCCCAAGTTCTTTGGGATATGGAGTTACAGGGTGCCCAGCTACCCTCCGGTAAACTAACATAGCTATTGAACATGGCCATAGAAATAGTGGATTTACCCATTGAAAATGGTGGATCTTTCCAGTTCGTTATGTAAACGTGTACCAGAGGGTAAGTTGGTTTATAACAACTCCAATCAAATCCAATCCAATAACCAAGATTTATGGTAGCTATACATCTAATTCATGTGCTTAATGGGGGTTACAAACCCCTAGGGGGCGCCACCCTGTACAGGCTACGTATACTCAATGGCCATTTCAGGTACGTAAATTAAATTGGAGGTACCCTGCCATAGATAAATCCTATGTGCCCCGAATTTCGATGGTTTTATATGGTTCCGTACCGCTATTCTGTCCTGAAATTCCCATGAAATAGTGGATTATGATTCATTATTATGAGAATCCATGAATATCCCAAATATATTGGATACTATAATCCCATGTAATCATCACCAAGGGTTTTGAATGCTACAGCAACAAGTGTCCGGACAAGTGCGCTGCCAAGCACGCTGAGAGCCAACTCCTATGCCGTTGGCCGAAGAAAGTCATCTGCCATGGTGATTGGCTGGTGATCTTGAACAAAAACATATGAATCAAGATTGCTATGGGTTGAAATTGAATACCCAATACCCAATAAATTGATGATTGAGAGTTACACATTGTTAAGACATGTCAGCACTAAACATGATCAAACTACAGTTGCCCATTGCGTATAATGTCACCATTTTGACACATACCCAAACAAGTCCACTCATCACACAAATATGGAGCAATTGGATTCACCTGGGTGATTAGAAGTGGCTGAACACGGCAGCCACATGATTTCTGGTGCCGGTTTGAACCTATCAAGAGAGGCCACACTGAGTACCGAATGGAACATCTCAAAGCTTGACTACTTCCTCGATCTTAAATCAACCATAATATCAGCTAGCATATACTGCAACAACAGCGTCAAAGTTCAATAAAGTATCAACATATCATATACTGCCAGTGAAGTCTCCCCCCAAAAAAAGACAGCACATACACCATATGGTTCCAAATTGTGTTGCAAAATCAACTGGAGTAAAATAAAACACCGGTTGAGGGTTCATTCTCTGGTTCTTCAAAGTCGAGGCCACATGTTCTTGTTCCCACCGGGATTTTCCACGTGAAATTAGTCTTGTTCTCGGGCAAGTTCCTTGAGTTAACTGTCCCAACTGGTCCCAATTTCGCAAAAATGCAACCTCCCCTGGGCCGCACCTGACAAGGTGCACCCCGTTTTCTTCTGCATCGGTACCATACACCAAGAAATCCGGGACGATTCGGGCCTGGCATTGGCTATTTAGGTTAGCCTCTGGTAAACGTTCATAACGAACTGGAAAATCACCATGTTTAATGGGAAAACTCACTATACATGGATATAAATGGCCGTTTTCAACAGCTATGTTAGTTTACCGGAGGGTGTTTCATGCTATTTCAGAAGCGAGAAAAGGGAATTCAGCCGCACATAACTCGACAGGAAACACAACCATGGGCCATGGGTGGGTGAAGAAATGGATCTCAAAATGCAAGGCTTTGGAAATTAGATGTCCAATTCAAAAAGTGCCACATAAACTGCCCCGCTACCAAACTCTACCAAAAATGGTGCCTTTCCCTCTGGTCATCTTACTTGCTGCCTTACTTCTGGAGTCCAAGTTAACAATGGTTATCCCCCTCACTATTACATCACGTGTCTCACATCTCATCCAGACTTCCCAACCCGCCATAACCCGACCCAACGCCCATGCAGGCCATCTTGTATCCAGGCGATTCCATGTAGTCTCTCGGTGGTCCCTGCCCAAATGGGCTCTTTCAGGGACTTCAATTGGAGGTACAACTATAACTATACATGAAATTATGTGGGGCTCAGCATTTTCAGAACGTTCTTCCGGAATATGCGCGTGTATAGTGGCTCTGTTTCAGGTACTGTGTTCTCTCTCTCTCTCTCTCTCTCTGCCCATTGCAATATTTAAAGTACCCTCTGGTAAACTAACATGACTATGGGAAATCACCATGTTCAATGGGTAAATCCGCTATAAATCGCCATTTTCAGTAGCTATGTTAGTTTACCAGAGTGTATTGTTCCTAACACCAAAATGACATCACAGTTCAACCTCCAATATGTTCGTGCAGATCGATTCGATAATGTTCATGCTGAAACCCTCCGATTCCCAGTTGGATTGGGGTGCGGATTTTTTTGGGGATTTGTTTTTTCTTGTTTTGGGAATTTTATTTTTTTTTGGTCGTGGGTACGGTTTCCTCACTTTTTCCTTGACTTTTCCTTGGTTTTTCATTGGTTTTCCTTCATTTTTCCTCACGTTTTCCTCGTTTTCCAGTATTTGTCTTTGTTTTTTTCATAATTTTCCTCTCTTTTTCATCGTTTTCCATTACTTTTTCCTTGTTTTATCATCATTTTCCTCACTTTTTCCTCGTTTTCCATTACTTTTTCTTAGTTTTTCATTGGTTTTCCTTCACTTCCCTCACTTTTCCTCGTTTTCCATTACTTTTTCTTTGGTTTTTCATCATTTTCCTCACATTTTCTTTCCTTCCTCAATAAGAAAACAGGAAGGGGGTATGGGGGAGAGGGCTGAGGAGGAGCAGTAGCGTCCACTCAGAATCAGCTAAAGCGTCTTCCCAGGCAACCTTATATACAGATATATAGATATATAGTGGTATATAGATATATAGATATAAATATAGATATACACATACACATATATATATATAGATATAGATATATATATATATAAAGATATATAGATGTATAGATATGTATATATATATATATAGATATAGATATATAGAAATATATAGAAATAAAAAGAAATAGATAGAGATATATAGATATATATAGAGATATAGATATATAGATAACTATATACATATATAGATAATTATATACATATATAGAATCATAGATACAGCCATAGATGTAGATATAGATACAGATATAGATAGATATAAATAGATATAGATAGATATAGATAGATATAGATAGATACAGATAGATATAGATGGATATAGATAGATATAGATAGATACATATAGATATAGATAGATATAGATAGATATAGGTATACATGCATGACTAATCATGACTTATGCATATGTAGATCAAGGTATTTACAAGTGTAATTAATATATCTGCTGGGTTTGGTTTTAGGGTTGGTTTTAAGGTTTCTTTAGGGCTGGTTTAGGGTTTGTTTAGGGTTTGTTTGGGGTTGGATTAGGGGTTATTTAGGGATACAATATGTACATACAAATAACTATACTTATGTGGACGCATATGCATGCACATGATTATTTACAGTTTATTTTGGGATACAACATGCACATACAAATAACTATTTTATGTGGACGCATATGCATGCACATGATTATTTACAGTTTATTTTGGGATAAAAGCTGTGTATATAAACAACCATATGTATATATATATATATACAATATATATATATAATATATATATATATACAATATATATATATTACAATATATATATATATACAATACATATCTAGTCTAACCAAACTAGTGTATTGAAATGTGTGCAAGTTTGAATTTAAATTTAAAAAAAAGCGGTGGGGGGGGGATTGGGGGGGAGGGCGCAGCGCCTCCCCCCCAAAGCAGATTGGAAACACCTATTTTCACATGCAAGGTGCTGGGTTGAATGTGATACTCAAGTACAGTTAAGGTGTATATACTACACGACATGCAGCTTGGAAACATGTGGAATGTAGATTGAGGCACAACGATGCACAATAGATTCATATGATGTTATCATCGAGTTGGTTTAAGATCTCTTTATATAAGGTTTGGTTCAGGGTTGGCTTGGGGTTTGAATACCATCCGGATGATAATGCAAACCTTTTAGATAGATAGATATATATATATATATAGATATATAGATTCAAAGATATATAGATTTAACGATATATAGGAATATAGATATATAGATATATAGATAAATAGATATATAGATTTAACGATATATAGGAATATAGATATATAGATATATAGATAAATAGATATATAGATATATAGATATATAGATATAAATATAGATATAGAAATATATAGAGATATATAGAGATATATAGATATATATATATAGATAGATAGATTAAGAAATAGATATATAGAGATATATAGAAATAAAAAGAAATAGATAGAGATATATAGATATATATATATAGAGAGATATAGATATATAGATAATTATATACATATATAGATAATTATATACATATATAAAATCATAGATACAGCCATAGATGTAGATATAGATACAGATATAGATAGATATAAATAGATATAGATAGATATAGATAGATATAGATAGATATAGATAGATATAGATGGATATAGATAGATATAGATAGATATAGATAGATACATATAGATATAGATAGATATAGATAGATATAGATAGAAATAGATAGATACAGATAGATATAGATATAGATAAGATATATATATATAGATAGAATCAGGTAGATAGATAGTTTGATAGCCAGATAGATAGACAGATAGATAGTTAGATGGATAGATAGACAGATAGATAGATAGATAGATAGACAGATAGATAGACAGATAGATAGATAGATAGATGGATGGATATATAGATAGATAGATGATACTCAAGGTGTATCTAATGCACAACATGCACCTGGTGAACATGCTTCACTGATAGATTGATCGATAGATGATAAATGAGCCATAGGAGCGAGGAGCTCTAGGAGCCAGGAGCCACCAGGAGCCGCAGAAGCCACCAGGAGCCACCAGGAGCCACAGAAGCCACCAGGAGAGGAGGAAAAAAAAAATAATAATTATTATTACCCTCCGTTGGATTGTAGCAAGATTGCCCTCAGGATGGTCCATTGGTCCAGATTCTGAGGTCAACTTCCAACTTGTAGCAAAATTTGCTGCTCAGGTGTGCATCGCTGCAAATGGGGAATCCCAAGCCGGGGCATCCAACCATCCACTTTCAGGTCTTTTAGCAATATCCTTCAGTAATCAAGGCAATGCAACTAAATATCCATCATGACCAAATGATTTCCGAAATCTATATATATATATAGCTATAATATATAGGTAGATATAGGTAGATAGATAGATAGAGATAGAGATAGAGATAGAGATAGAGAAAGAGATAGAGATAGAGATAGAGACATAGATAGAGATATATTTAGATATAGAAATAATAAACAATAAATAACACCTATAAATAGATATGGATACTTGTAAATACGGGGTGTATATATAGAGAGATAGAGATAGGAATAGATATAGCTAGCTAGCTAGCTGGCTAGATAGCTGGCTAGTTAGATAGCTGGCTGGCTAGATAGCTGGCTAGCTAGATAGCTAGATAAATTAAATGGATGGATCAATAGATAGATACATGTTTCCTCATAGTTTTTCTTTAGTACTACTAAACAATCAATTTCATGAGATTTTCTCATATGTTCTGCCCGAAAATCTCCGGCTGGCTGCCTTGCTGGTGGTGTCCTTCACGTGGATATCCGCCAGTCGGCTGAGGGCAGCCAGACCTGCTTTTCACAAATGCACGTATGGATGTTATATGTGCATTTGCATAAACATATCTATAAAATGCTCTCTCCCTCTGTCTCCCTATATATATATATACACATATGATATGTACATATACGCATTGTGAATATACTATAGGCATCCTTCTACGAGTTTACCGGGTCAGGTTGGCTCACATGATTTTCTAGGGAAAACATAGGTGAAAACAGATATTTGGACCCTAGAAAAACACAGCTGGAAAAACAATAAATACCACCTCACTAGAGAATCAGCACACGCACAAAACAGCATTTCAGACCCCCATGTGCCTATAATTTGGTAGAAAATTGAAACCTGATCCTTGGGCTCCGACGAAAAATGCGGAGCTTGATGTCATAATTATTTAGCATCAACATCTGAGCTATGATATTCTAGAACATTCATGTCCGGCCTCCTCCCCTCTCCCGAGATTCGATTTTTAAAGATTTTTCGAACTTTTCGAGTCTTCTCTCAGAGCGTCCTCCAAAATGAGCCCTTCCCAGCCAATAGTCGCCATGAATTCAAATTCAGAAACAATCAGAAATATATCGATACATGTTGCTATGATAAACTATGATATTTTCATATATTTTAATATACGAGCTGGTATTTCATACTACCTCCGGGGCTTCGCAGCCTGGCCCGCCCCCCACATTTAAATGTCGTTACCGTACAGCATGCTGCAACTCTGTACAAAAACATACCGCCTCAGTTTCTTTCATTTCTTTCACTTCTTTCAATTCAGCAGTTTTTGGTCATAGAAGTTTCAAACAATGACTCGAAAGGAATGTGACTGTGATTTTCTGGAAGTGACGCGCGCTGTTTTAAATCCAGTGCTTGATTTTCTAGAGGCCACAATTTTCCATACATGTGCCTCTCACATTTTCAAGACGCCTGCATCCAGGTCCATATTCAAAAACCATCGAAAACCTATATTCGAAATCGTTATTTTCACATATTGTCACAATGCGTCACATGTTTTCACATTGTACACATGTTCTCCATATGTTCATTTTTATATAACCCCATCCCAATGTATTTTAAGGTGTTTTCATGTTCTCAGATTTACCAGACTCGCAATTCTGGTTTAGGCGTTTTGGACTTGATTTTAGAATATTTCAATGTTTTTGGCGTACCCTTATAAAACAGCAGCTTTTGGTCATAGAAGTTTCAAACAATGATTCAGAAAGAATGTGATTTTCGAGAAGTGACGCACACTGTTTCAAATCCAGTGCTTGATTTTCTAGAGGCCACAATTTTCCATACATGTGCCTTCCACATTTTCTAGGCGCCTGCATCGAGGTCCATATTCGAAAATCCATATTCGAAATGACTATTTCACAAGTTTTCTGTATATTAATCATATTTCATTTTTAATCCCAATCTATTTTCATGTGTTTTCAATTTCTCTGATCTACCAGACTCGCAGCGACGCGCAGGCACTCAAAGTTCCAGCCCAAGCGCTTCGGATTGGCTGTTTTCCAATTGCGAGATGCGGCAAGTATTGCAAACTTGGACAGGAGAGAGATGGGACTAGATTTTAAGCATGTTTAAACAAAACAAAATGACCTACCAGTGCCCCTCTAGAAAATCAGGGACCACTAGAAAATCTAGGAACGTCCTCCCAAAGATGCTAAAATTATGCTCCTGGATTTTGGGCACTTAAGCTACCCAGAAAATCAGGGTCTCCCGACTCAGAGGTCTCCAAAAGTTGTTCTGTAGAAAATGAGGGGGTTGATAAAAGCAGCCTTTCATCAAAATCGAAGAATTTTCGCGCCAGATTATCAGTCCTTCTTAGGGGGGTTGGCCCCCCTGAAATCCTAGAGGAAACTCACACCGGTATTTTCAGAAACATAAGTCTAACTCAACTAAACTAGAAAGACAGAGCCCACTAGAAATTCATAGGCTGACTCCCCAGTTTGGGTCCGTAAAATCCGCATTTTCCGCGCCAGAAAGTTAGGCTCTGTCAACTTTGAGGTGTTTAAAATAACCACGCTAGAAAATCAAGGCCACTATGAAAGCAGCCGATCCCCAGAATACATAACTGGAATCACTAGAAAATGCTGGCTTACAGGGGGGTTGACCCCCTAGATTTTCTAGGGGAAACTGGTAAGAGGATCTATAGGCTATAGATGTATGTTAAACACATCTATGAACGGTAGATTGTACAATAATCAAACCTTGCAAATAGCAAAACCATGGGAATCCCAATGTTCAATTTAGGAAAATTATATGTACAAAGGGCATTGTTTTCTCTACTCCCACGTTCACCCAAAAATCTCTGACAGGCAAAACAGAAATGGAAACAATGACCGAATTCAATTGGGATTTTCCAGCACGCCATGTTTGATTACAGTAACAGAGGATCTCGGCCTGCAGCATCCTGCAGCTGCATCTGGATCGATAAACGTTTACTGTTTCCCCAGTAGATTCCTCCGAAATCATCCCAAAATGCCAATCTTCCCATGCTGGGGATTTCAACAGAAAAAATAGCCCACAGAAAAAACAAAAACAACAAGACACATGATATGGAGAATCATGGAGAATCCAAAAGGTTTTGAAGGTCCAAAGTGGGTATGGTTTATCATCATGTTCCCCATGGAAAAGTGGCCACAACTCGAGGGTGATCATATCAAGTTGCTCGGTCATATCCACGTAAAAAAATAGTGTTCCCACCTGTATCCGCAAAATCTTCATCATATTCTGTTAAACATGTCCATGATGTTCTGTTGAATTGTTAAGTCTAGTCTCTATATTTCATCAATATCCCATGAAATCTCCATTCAATCTCCATTACTCTCCGGTAATTTAACAGTTTGCTAAGAAAAATGGCCCATTTAATTCGGTCTTGTACCTACTAGGAGTAGTGATTTTCCATGGCTATGTTAGTTTACTAGAGGGTAAATCTCCATTCAATCTCCCTTAAACCCATGAATTGTCATATCTTTTTTGGTATAACCCAGTGGGCCTACGTTCAGAAGGAGCAAGGCTGCGAGGCCGCCAAAGGCGGCCAACACGGGAGGTTCTCCAGTCTCCTGAAATTAGTCCCTAACTGAGGACGTCAAGCATCAAAATTTGGGATTTAACTGGAGTTAACTGGATTCAATTAACTGGAATTAACCATAGAAAGTTGGGATTTAAACATGAAAACCCGGATTTCATCATGAAAAGATGGGAGTTAACCAAAGAAAAACGAATTGAACCATGAAATAAAGACTGAGATTATATGTAAAAAATTGGCCATTACCAACAAACCTCGTTTTTGCCAAGCAGAATGGGGCTTGCACCCATTGCAACGAGTGGATACCTCCAAGGTGGTGCCGCATAAAGTCTTCATGGGGATTTCAAACCAATTTATAACTGCGGGGTGCCACCTTGTATATATAATATGTGTGAAATATAAATAAATATAAACACACACACATATATATACAGTATATTATTACATTACATTGCATTATATTATGTTATATTAGATTATATCATATGTTTTTATTAAATATTATAAATTATATAGTATATTATATATTACATTAGTTATTATATTATTTATTGTACTATTTATTATAGATTGTATTATGCTATATTATAATATATTATATTATATTGTATTATGAATATATTATAGATATTTTTTATTACATATATATATATAAATAATTATAAAACTAATAATGATAAAAAAATAAAATAATAATAATAATGATGATGATACACATATATATATATGTGGTCACCGCACCCCCCAGAACCCCATATTGAGGATTAGGGAGTTGACGACATATAGCTGCATTAAATATACAGTAGTGAATCACCTTCCAAAACACTGCAAATACCATTAAAATATACACATTTGCAATCTCAATACTATCATGACCTGTACACACACACAGTAGCAACCCCACAAACGATAGACAAATTGGACACCTGGAAACGCTGTTCTACTGTATCTTTTTGGGGCGTCGCTACATATGTTATGATCCATGATGGTGGCTGGCTGGGGTTAACCCCTGCCTATATGATATGTAATTAGCCTCCGGTAAACAAAAATAGCAATGGACAAGTACCTCTTTAAAGATGTTTTTTCCATTAAAAACCTCCATTTATAAAGGATGTTCAATGTAGTTGGTTTATAAACCAAATAATTATAATTTGTAAATGTATGTAACTGTAATATATCTGCCATAAGCCCAAATGTTATCGGAGTTATTGACCAACTTAGCAAACGTTTTGGGGCACCAACTAGTTGGATTTCCCATGGCCAAGGTCCTCTTCAGGCGTCAATTGTGCTTCCTCTTCTGCAAACATCTCCAGCAAGGCCTGCGTTTTTTGGTCAACGGTCAACATGAAGTGATGGACCAAATGGTTTCCACTTCAAATATCTTGCCAGGGTAATTGAATCAAAACAAACCAGGATTTCACCAACAACCATGGTGGAATTTACCATGGTTAGTGGGATAGTAATCGTGGGAAATCTTCTGGGAATACTTGAAACAAACCCTTGAGGAATCCAACAGTTTGCCAAGTCATGGCCTGTTTGTAGATGATGACTAGATTTATGTGCCTTGGTTCTGCATAACTATGATGACCCTCAAGGGTATGAAAGATCGCATCGATACTGATACATTAAAACATGACGTTATATATATATTTTGTACTACTGGCACAAAGTATCTTTCGATGCGGCCAATGCAATGCGATATAATCAATCAATAAATATATATATATATATATAGATCGATATAATCTGGTTGGTGGTTTCAACCCCTCTGAAAAATACTGGTCAGAATGGATCATCATCCCAACTATTGGGGAAAATAAAAAATGTTCCAAATCACCAACCAGCATAGATCGATACAATGAATATATGAAAGGACAGATGACGAATGCAATGAATGAAACTAGCTGCCAGTGCCAGGGGGATTGGCAGGGGAAACTCTGGATTTGGCCACTGAAAATGTGTATGGGACTTGGCTAGGAACCACTTACCAAAGCAATCGGATCCACCATCCCCAATTTTACCATGTTTATGGGTAAAACCCATCAAAATATAGAATGTTTATTTTTTAAAAAAAAATTACTAACATTAACCATCTTATCACTCAATGATAGATGTGCCATATAGTGTGCGGCAATCCATCTGGGCATCCTTACTCGTCCTTAGTATTGGCATGCGAATCTGAATCCCTACAGTAATTATATATTATTAGTTGACCGATCACCAACCTCCAATCTATAGGCAATTTATCCAAGGTTTGGACCATGGCACATATATGGTTTATCCCCAGTCCCCAGTTTTGTACGGGTTCTATATATGGCTTCTGTGCCACTTGCCAACCAACAAGCGTAGTATCTAAGCACAATGACAAAATATGACAAAATATAATGGCTACAGGGTGTTACAAGTGACTATATGGCCTATAAACACCCAGAAGCCACCCTAAAGAAACGCATGTGATACAGATGGTAAACCCACTTCCTTGCCATCCTCGTACTATTTCAAACTGCCTGTTGTCCATCCTCGAAGAGTCCCACCAGCACCATGGTACCAACGCCACCTCGCAAAAACGAGCTTCGGAGGGATGCTATGTGTAATTCGTCATTAGAACAACAACATAAAATCATAACAAGATGAGTTGGATGACTTCGTGCTCGGGCCACCAAAAACCAACAGGAAAGTCCTCGAAATCACCAGCCACATCATCCACCAATGGGTACTGGATCCAACAGGGTTTAAGTTGACTTCTTCCTCTGCATCCTGAAATCGTCTCAAATCATATTGTTCTTTTGCATCAACCCGTCTTGTCCTGATAGTTCCCAGTTCTAGATATAATCGATTTCATATATGATGTGATTCACCAGTCGAAATCCTTAGAGTGATTCCATCCCTCCAAACAAATGCATGGCTTTTCCCAGCCGGAAAAAAAAAAACATGCACCTTCCGTCAGGTTCAAGACGCAGGCGCCCGACCTGAGTTCAAATGGAAAGTGATTAGTGGATAGATTGAACACTTAGCATTTGGAAATGTGTGCTCTGGAAAAACATACTGCATGTAGGGATTAATCTGATATATCTATATATTATATTTTATTCTATTGTATTTTCATACAATTTGTAGATGCATGTCCGCATGTGTGCTTTCTCGTTTGCATTGGCGGTTTGGGCCGGTCATTGTGAACTATCACAGAGCGTATGAGCCATTTACATCAATGTCCATTTACACGATTACATACTATTACCATATAATATAATGTAAATATAATATAATATATAATACTAAAATATAAATAAACATATAATAATATAATAAAATATAATATAACATAAAATAGTTTAAAATAATATAAAATATATACAATATAATATATATATATAATAACATATATATAATATAACAAAAAATATAATATAATAAAATATAATATAAAGTAATATAATATACCAAAATATAATAATATATTATATAACATAGTAATATAATATAATTTAACATAATATAATATAATATAATACAATCTAATATAATAATATAATGTAACATAATAATATAATATAATAAAATCTAATATAATAAAATCTAATATAATATAATATAATATAACAAAATATAATGACATATTATATTATATAATATACCATAATATAATAATATAATATAATATGATACAATTTAATATAATATGATATAATATAATATAATATGATATAATATAATATAATATCATATCATATAATATACCATAATATAATAATATAATATAATATGATAATATATAATAATTTAATAAAATATAATATAACATAATAAAATATAATATAGTATTATAACATAAAGTATGACTTAATAAAATATAATATAGTATAATATAATATAATATAATATGATATAATATAATATAATATAGTATAGTATAGTATAATAGTATAATAGTATAAAATATCTATTATATTACAATATATATATATATATATATTCATGTATTTATATATATATATATGAGTCGTTGTCAAAACTCATTGTCTTCGCTTGGTTTCCGAAAATTATGTATCGTCGGTATCGCTTTTTTGGGGGGGGCCTATCGCTATCCATGGTTTTGCAAAAAGAGGCAAGGAAGAGGAAAGGAAAGGGAAAAGGACAAGGAAAAGGGAAAAGGAAGGGAAATGATTGGGAAATATTGGGAAGAGGAAAAGGAAAGGAAAGGAAGAGTAGGAGAAGAAGAGGAAATGAAATGAAGAGGAGGGGAAAAGGAATGGAAAAGGAAAAGAAAAGGAAGGGAAGAGGAAAGGGAGAGAAAGAGAGAGAAAAGGAAAGGAGTAAAGGCAGAGGAAAGGAAAAAGGAAAGGATCTATTTGTGGTCTGGTCTGGGGCTACTTTTTGAACAAATGGATATCACTAAGGTTCGCTAGGGGTATCGCTAATTTAGCCTCTTGCATGTACGTAACTTTGTGCAAAACAACTTCAGATGTGGACATCATGCACAATTATAGCTATCGCCTGTGGGGGGGGGGGGCCTATCGCTACACAGTGTTGCGCATTTTCCAAACACCCCATTGTCCTACAAGGTGCCCCAGTGTCACCTAGGATTCATGGTGGCTACCAACTGTAGGTCCTTAGCATCTCAGTAGCTACCCGGTAGGGGTCCGGTCTTCTCTGGGCTTCCCCAGACTCCTCCATGACCACTCCCTCTCTGATCCATCCATCACCTGCGGGGAACAGTACTGCTTGGTCCGTGGCTTCCGTGGCCTAGACCGAACTAGATCGAATTTGAAATCACTGGTGCCCTTCTCATGTTCCAAATCGTATTGCTATGGGCTGTAACTAAAATCAAGCGAACAGAAAAGTGATGCGGTGGACCCAAGTCTCCCATAAAATGAAATTGGGGCTTTGAAACCAATATTAAACAAATTAAACCCTTGACCTGACCTATTTTCATCCCGTCTTCATGTTTGGTGTTACCCTGCTCACTATTTTCTGGAAAAGTGGCACGTCCGGGGCCGTTCCTGTTCGGCGACCGGGTCAAAATGCGCAGGGCTCGGAGGCTCCGTGAATTAACCGCATGGCCTGGGGCCACTTAAATCGCCCGCACGTCTGCCTTCACAGACAAGCGAAGCACTCAAAACTGGGACAATGTGAAAATATAGGATTTTTTCGCAGATGTGGAGCAGGAAACCAAAAGGCAACTGTCTTTTTCATCTGTTTTTTCCATCCTAGACCCTCCGATAGATCCACAAATGAAATCGGTTTACATCTACCATGGCATTCGGCAACCAACAGAATACTAACAAACGGAGGGTCTAAGTCAAAGTTCTTCCCTTCACATCTGAAAATCTGCGGGCCATTTGCGGAGCCCGGCGCCTTTCGCCACGCGAACGCCAGGCCGCAAAGCACGCCACTCATGGGCTGAGGAAGGTCAATTCGTAGGTCGTGCCATGTGGGCAGTTGTGGTTCCCGTTCTTATCATCCAAGTCATAGGCGTATGTCCTGGCAGTGATATGCAGTGATTGGGTGATCCCTCCCATGTAATGCTCAGCCCTTGCAAATCATGCTTACCCAGCATCCTAACATCATGATGATCATTGATGCGGAAAACAACCATGGTTTCCCATGTGGAAAGGATATATCATGATAGTTTGTTTTTCAAAATTTTCACATATATGTTCTGGATAGATTGCAGTATCTGAATGTAATTCACTAATCCATAACCTGAAAAAATGACCATTCGGGGTGATTCCCCCAAATCCAAACTCATCATTCCAGTGATGGAAAACGACATGATGTCGTTATGTCATTAATTCAGGAATCCAGGATCCCTATGATACCCTCTTCATCCCTCTTCTATCCCCATTGCATTCCTCCATTTGCGTTGATGAAATCTACTGTATGCTGGTGAAATCCCTATTCTTTTAGCAGCCTCAGCAGCCTCAGCAGCCTCAGCAGCCTCAGCCGCGGACACATCGGACACGTCCTGGGGCACTTGCGGTGCACAAGGTCAATGTACGTCCGTGTGCCGCGGCCCGGCCGACCTTTCGCATGACATCCCAGGCGCCTGCGAAAATCGCACGGGAAAATGTGGTAAAATCCACTATAAATGGAGCTTTAGATGGAACATGATTGAACTAAACATAGGATTTCCAGCCATGTTTGATGACCAGAGGGTAACTATGGTGGTTTGCCCAGTTCCAAGTAAATGCTGTATGCATTGTAGGGAACCCTTGGGGGGTCGAGGAAAAGATGGGGAGTAACAATATCAACGTGTTCGGGTTAAAACGGGGTATACTCTTCAGCTATGGCCATCAGAGAAATATGGAGAGTAACCATCAAAAAACAGGTACCCCATTTCCAGAAAAACATGACAAAGCCTAATTTTCAACAGATTCAGAATGATTCAGATAGATTTAGACTAAGCATGACTCATTGGCAGCCCATTGGCCATACATCCTGGTATTTTCTTCAAAATCATTGAGGTGAAATTTGACGTGAAAAATGCAAAATTCAATTCATCATAGTGACTTGGGTCAATGGGTCTCCATGATTTTTCCCCCACCAAATGGATGAGAGACGCCATGCATTTGGCCCATTTCCGCTGAGCCGAACGCCTCCAAACCAAAATTTGGGCTGTGATTCGGTGGGTGCCACCGATTCAGGAGTTCGATTCAGGACGTTGGTTTCCCCCAAAAACACCACAGATTTTTCATATCATATAAGCATATAGTATATATGATATATATATATATCCCATGATACATGATTCGATGAGTCTGTTTGATTTTCCCTTTTGCTGTGAGGGATGGTTCCCGTTCTTATCATCCAAGTCATAGGCGTATGTCCTGGCAGTGATATGCAGTGATTGCGTGATCCCTCTCATGTAATGCTCAGCCCTTGCAAATCATGCTTACCCAGCATCCTAACATCATGATGATCATTGATGCGGAAAAACCACCATGGTTTCCCATGTGGAAATGATCTATCATGATAGTTTGCTTTTCATAATTTTCATATATATGTTCTGGATAGATTACAGTATCTGAATGTAATTCACTAATCCATAACCTGAAAAAAATGACCATTCGGGGTGATTCCCCCAAATCCAGACTCATCATTCCAGTGACGGAAAACGACGTGATGTCGTCATGTCATTAATTCAGGATAATTCAGGATCCCTATGATACCCTCTTCTATCCCCATTACATTCCTCCATTTGCGTTGATGAAATCTACACCCTTCATGGTGGATGTGCTATTAGTAGTTCAACATAACTATATATATGAAACCATCAATCTTTACTGGGAAAAAAACAGGCAAATCACTTCAGACAAACACAACCTCATGGTGGCCTCACCCCCCTCCTGACCACACTTAGCCGCTGCAGGTTTTTTCTTCTTTTCTGCCGAGTTCCTGGACTTCAGAACCCAAAAAGGCGAGACAAAGGGGTTGTCAGTGCACATGTGCCACGGTGGGCCGGCTCTTCTTGTTCAACTTTTTTGTTCAAAGATGATCATCCGATTTTGCCAAGGGTAGCTGCTAGGGAATCATCAGCTCGCCATGGCACATGGTCAAAACGTGATTATGCACACCCAAAGGAGCCCACACTTTGAAGTCGTTGTCATGATTAGCAATGATGCGGTAAACCCGATATACAATAAAGCTATATATATATATACATAATATTATATATATACTATATATATATATACTATATATATATAGTACCATGATATTATGTGTATATTGAGCCACGTATGATGATTTTGGGGATTGCTGAAAAAATGGGTTTATATATCATTCATTAGGGACAATGTATGTGCTACGTGATGAACACAGAAAGTCAACCGACCCCCCCCCAAAAAAAAAAGTACTCTCTGGTAATTTAACATATGGCTGTGGAAAATGACCACGTTAAATAGGTGTTTTTGAATCACCTCGAAATGAGCCTCTCTCTCCATAGTTATGTGAAATTACGGGTATCTGTCATCACTGACATGGCAATGCAGAAAAATCCCCATGGCTTGCACATCCCAAATCCAACGTGACCTCATCTGTGGGAAGCCTTTTGGCTTGATCATGTCTGGTTGTCAAATTTAACGGCAAAAGGGCAAAAGGGGCAATATGGGTCGTGTAAAATTACATGAGATTTATGGCAGTTTACGGTCTTTTATGGCCTACCACGCATCATGGGTGTTTGGCTAAATCCCTCCCCAAGGATTGGGCTAGTTATATATATATATAATATATATAATATATATATATATATATTTAAAAAAAAACAATCCAACAAACTTGATCATTGCCATTTGGCAATCTTTTGTGTACATTATACATTGTACATCAAAGCGTCATCATATCGCCTGTTGTGGTCACTCCTAATGTGCCTTGGATCCTGCGGGGCGTCAAGCTTGGCTTGAAAACGCCACCAGCAGGAGCCGATTCTTAGAGCGCCACTATGACGAGTGGGGCGTCAACCAGGTGCTGACATGTTTTTGGTGCTGAACATGTCTTGCAATATTGTGGTAAAGCCAACAAGGGCCACATCCGCTAAGAAAATCATCTTTGTGAGGCTTCTGTTCGGGTAAAAAAAATGCCTCTAATCATTCTCTAATCAAGTTTAAACTCGTGTGCGACTCAATTTCGCGGACAAACATCATCCGAAAGATAGCACCCGCGGACTGTGATCGTACTCAGCTCAAACTCAGCTTGCCAATTGAAGGCAAAGCATCTTCATAAATCTCTGCACATCGTGCGTAACGCAAGCATCAGCAGGCCTGAATTCCACGTTCCAATCAGTAGTCTATTCCATGCGTAGTGCGATGTTGGTAGCCGGCACACTCAGCTGCGGATTCGTCTCCATTTTTTCTAGCCCAAATCAGTCTTGAACTCCGACCTCAGTAAGACAACTCAAGCATACCATGTTCCATGCCCCGTAGCAGCTAACCATGGCACCCCTCCACCTTCCTGCTGGCCGAGCATCTTGTTCAAATCCTCAACAAACCTCAGGCTCCCCAGGCGGCCCCCCAAAAAAAAACAGAATGCTTGGATTTTTCTATCGCAAATAGATAAGCATCACAAAGCAATCAAGATAATAAAGTGAATAAATGGAGAAATCACACGTTCATAATATTTCATAATTAGTACCCAGAAACAGCTTGTTTCAGCCCAAATGAACCAACATGAACCAATACATCTTCTGAATTCTTCTTTATCACCATTCTCCCTAAGATTCCATGAATTTTCTTCAATTTTCCCCCGTTTTCTTTTCGGCTCAAAACGGTTTTTTGCGCCTTTTATGCCGGGCCGCTGGTTGGCATACTGCACGATCCTCAGGGCTGCTTCGCTGCGGCGCATGAAGCGCTGGGCAATGCTGTGGAAGCCCTGCGCGTCCAGCATGGCTAACTTGGCATCGCTCACCGCCGTCCTAAAGGCTCCCCCGGGTGCCGGGAGGCGGCGTTGGGGGAGCAAAACCTGGTGCTGAATCCCCAGCAAACATATGCAAACACATTAAGGATTTAACCAAGCAAACTGACCCAACATGGGGGTTTATAGTTGATTTACTTTAGCTAAGTTGGTTGTTAGCAAAGTTGGTTGAGAAAAGTAGGTTCACGAGTGGAGTATGGTATATATCATGACAAATCCAGGGTTATTGGCACCGCCTTTTCCAGATCAAAACACAAAGAACATCTATGTCACAGTGCAGCACGCAAGTATTGATGGGAAGAAACCTATAGTCTATATTAGAGTCTATATTGTTGATTGTTTCCCACTTTTTGGAGGAGGACCAACATATGCCAGCATGGGCGGGTATGGGAAACTATGGCAACATCGTGGAAAATGTCCAGATTCTTCAACAAATCGTAATCAAATCAAATTTGCAGAACCATAACTTGAGATACCTTGAGTCAGTTTTAATTCCAGGCGGTGCTACTCAATAGCTTCGGCACTGGTATTGGTCCCAACTTGTCCTAAAACCTGAAGATTGACCTCCTCAGGCCTCCGTGAAGAATATGAGTCATGTTGGACCATCATCTCCAATATTAAATATACCCTCTGGTAAACTAACATAGCAATGGGAAAATCACCATTTTTAATGGGAAAATCAACTATAAAGGGCAATTTTCAATAGCTATGTTAGTCATTACCAGAGGGTATGTTTGTAACCATCAGCAAGTCATGAATTTTGCGGCTAGTCTAGCCAGCATTTAAAGTTGGCAAACTCAACAAAAAAAGGCTCCTTGGCTCCCCATTTTTGGGGGACACACACAGGTCCCGGTCCCAGCTCCCTTCAGTTCCACATGAAACAAGAACTACTGAACTCACTGGGGTGAACTAACCGACTTACCATGGAGAATCAGCATTCTGAATATGGTACTTATGGGAATTCATGGGGCATGGCTAACGAAATAAATTAGTGACTCATCATCCATGTAATATATATCCATATATAAATGAGCAATGTTCCTCAGCAAAAGCTGTTAAACTACCAGAATGATAGCCATTCACCACTAAGCTCGGCCAGGTTGCAGAGTTCCGCGATGCTTCCAGTTGGTCCATAAGACGGCCTGGGAGACCCAAATTTACTGCTGGTAAACTCACATAGCCATGGACAATCACCATTTTAATAGGTAAATAAAGGTAAATCATCTATAAATGGGCCATTTTCCATAGCAAACTCTTACATGGGTATGGATCAATACCTATTAATACCATTTTTAGGGGGATGAACATCCATTTACCAGCTATTTTGATGTTCACTAGGTGCCAGGGTTTTGACCCATCCCCACATAACTATAGTTTCACCTCCTGAAAAACGCCCACGAAACGCTTGTCTGCCGCGAGGTGCTTCGGCGACATGTCGCTTCTCTGCTACCTGCGCCACTTCGCCGTAGGAGTCCGTGTATTCCAAAGATCCCGACACCTCGACGGCTTGGAGTTTGTGGGTTCTTCGTCATGTGGAGTTCTTGAAACTGGGGGATCAGCAAAAACATGTTTTTAATATGTTTTAATATGTTTTAATATGTTTTAATATGTTACTTAATATACTAAAATGGATCAATGACTTGGATCATTCGGAGCAACCCCCGTAGGACACCTCCATAGATGCCCCTTTCCGATAAATGGAATTGCCTCATAGCAATGAAATCCTGGGCAAACTCTCAGGGACGTGGGTATCTTTGCCATCCAATTTACTCTAGTAGTTTCAGCCCCTGTCTCTACATCCCTTGTGTGGGATCCGTGGTCAGCAACTTGGTCAGGTATGATTCCTACAATCACCTGGGGTAATGTTGACCTACGATTTTTAAACCCACCCTAAATAAAGCTAACCAGAGCCCCAAAACAAATAATAAATTACCCCTAAATAAAGTTATTTTTTTTTTGGCCCTTAACCCAGATTTGCCCAGATGGGGCTGCAATGAGTACTAGATCAATACTCAATCCATGACATGAGTACTAGATCAATACAAAAAAAAAGTTGGATTCCTTTTTTTTGAAATTGCATTTTATGTATTCGTTTTAAATTGTGGTAATTGAAAACCTTTACATACAAACAAGTTTGATGGTGGCTTTAAGTCTATTTAGGGGGAAGGGGGGGGAGGCCCTACTTATAAATCAGAGATGGACATTATCCGGTAATTTACCATAGCTAGGTGAAAATCACAACTTTTCACAGGAAAAAATCAGGTAAATCTACGGTAAATCATCTAAATGTGCCATTTTCCATATCAATGTGGGTCATAACCAAAGGCTACATGTACAAAGCAACACGGTAGTTGTAAACTACCCAGTTTTGGTGAGGATCCATGGTTGGCAAATGACAACCCAACATGTTCCGATCTGTCGGAGTCCTTAATATTGTCCCTATCTATTCATTACCATTTATCCCATGACTCGATCGTCAGTTACATGTTTGGTATGTGTTTTTTGGGCGCGCATCAGCCGTCGCAAAGCCGAGATGCCACAATGTACATTTTGGGCTCTGCAGGTTCCTCGCCCATTTGGAAGATATTGTCCGTGGCGGAAAGGAGGAGCATGTGCATGGCGCCTGGGTCTAAGGCGCGTCAAATTTAACTTCTTGGATCTTGGACATAATATCAGATCATTATTTCAGATGGTTTCTATTGCGGTACGGTCATCAGGGTCATTATATAATATTATATAATAGTGTTCCTCTACAAATTGATAGTACAAAGTAGTATAACTATCATTAATTTCATGAACCAAAGAAATGTGCCATTTTGGGGATTATTATTCTTACCTACTCAATATCATTTACAGGGCTTTGTCATAGTGAAACCTACGTTTTTTTGTTCCAGGGAAATTCTGTGGGTTGGTTCAGGGGAAAGTTGCCGAGAAATTGTCGGGGCTTAAGCAGAAAACGAAACACATATATTATATAATTAATTGTGATCTGACTAGTATTTAATGAGGATATAATGGGATATGCAATACCCACAATAACGCTTTTTGGCTAAATGAAAATTCACTGCGGTTGCCGCTTCTCTTCTTGAAACTCTTCTTGCAACCAGTTCTGGGACAAAAACAGAGCTTTTGGATATGAAACTCATGGAGACTAAGCGGTAGAACCAGCCATGGGATGTCGGCGGGATCTCAATAATCCAAAAGTAACAATCGCAATGTAATGAATTGGTTTATGTAAATATACACACTGTAAACAAAAAAACTGGCATGATGATGCATTATTACATCTAGGAAAACCATAGGTGTGATAATGATACAAAACCTTTTTTCCCATTATTTCCAAGGCTCGATGGCAGATTGGGCGCATGATGGGAGAATTTTCTTGCAGGAGGTCCAGGAAGAAAGGATGCCACCTTAGCTGCCAAAAAAAAACACAACAAAACTGAGAGACTGCAAATCTCAGCATGGTGAGGGAAGGTGGTTCGAAGAAGAGCCTGAATGTGATATGTGTATCCTTTTACCGTATTTAGCTCTACGGATCTCCCTGTGCACATATGTATATATATATATATGCATATTATTATATACACAGCTAAGCGGCCCTTCCAGTGCCCACATTTAAGATTTCAATCATGTTTATCAATTTTATCATAGGTGACTCTTAAAAGATATATATATATATAACCAATCTTATTTCTAAAATTTTCTAAATACTACATATTCACTATACTAGCACTTCAAAACCACTTTGTCATCATTCTCTATCATTGCAAGACAAAAAGGACCAGGGTTAGCATTTTAGATCCATGCCCTCTAAAAAGATCCCTGTGTCTAAAAAGCACATCTTTGCGAACAGAACAACCTCAACCCAGTGGAACTTCATTGTTGTTGCGTTTCACTTCTGGAAGGTTAAAGTATCATTCATGAGTAGCTTCTCCGTGAACATCATCAGTGTTGATTTCTGGGAGCAAATATGATCCAGGCCCCTGAACCTTTCAAGGAACTTGGAGAGATTTGCAAGCAGGAATTACTTCAATTGCGTGCTCCATCATCAAATATATGTCATGTCAAGTGGGCAGCTTTCCTTTCAGAAAGTTGAGCATACAGTACACACACACACTGATGATCACTTTGAAAAGCACAGCCTTCCCTCAAGGCAGCTTCAAAAGACATGCATGAATGCATCAAAAAGGCGTAGTATCGCTTTACAAAAGGAATACAGTACTTGCTCCCTTCAAATATCTAGCATTCCTTAAAACTCAAGCAGCTCTTTCTTAGAGCGGCAGTTTATGTTGAAAAGATCAGCGTTTCAAAACACACACACACACACGCGTTGTATTCAAAGGATGCAGGATTACAGTACTTGCGGAAAAAAAAACACCATTGATTTCAAACATTTACATTCCCTTCAAGAAGTGCCGTTTTCCTTTTAAGGAGACACCTTTTCTTTCAACAAATGCAATTTTCTTAGAACAGTTTAAATAGTTTTAATGTAAGAATATGTCACGTATAGACTCACGTACAAACCACACTATTCCTCCAAGAAGGAAACCGTTTCTTTTGCAGAATGCACAGGACTCCTTTACAAGAGATGCCCCTTGACAATGTGTCCTGCTTGAAATCTATGTGATATTCTTCCCAAGCATTCCTGTACACAAGTGCACTGTTCTTTGAACGAGGCAGTTTTCAATCAGAACATGCAGTATGTTTGAAAAGGGACAGCCTCCTTTTCAAACAAACACTTGTTCATTTCACATATGCAGGATTTAAAGGAAACAACGAAACAAATACACACTTTAGAAAACAACATGTCCATCATGTCCCTTTAAGGAAGCAGTACTCTTGCAAACAATCTCCAGTGGTCTCAACAGACACATTCTCTTTTAAGCTCTTCATTGCATGCACTATTTTGAAAACATTAAAAAAAAACATGTAATGAAATGGTTAAAGAAAGTTGTATGTTTGCCAATTACACCGTATATATATATATATACATCAGTATATCCAACAGCGCAGGGTTTCTTTATGTTTCTTTCAACAAGATGAATTTAATGACCGGACCTCTCTTACCTTTCAAATATGCCGCCTTCCTTGAAAAAATGAAGTCTTTCCTCAAAGAACTTGGTTTCGAAAGATGCACTAGCTGTTGAAAATGCTAGCCTCCGTTAGATCCTCAGAGGAGTATTCGGAATAATACTGAGAGGTAAAATAATCTGTTGAAACAGAAAAGATGGTTTCATCTAAAAAGTTGGATTTTTGGTTTTACCTTATTTTGTTGGTTTCTTTTGGTTTCCTCGAGAGGGCGTTTGTTTTTTTTTTGAGGTTTGGGAAATCAAAAAATGGCAAACACGGTTCTTCTTCAAAGTATCATTTTACATCAGTTTTTTAATGTTCTGACGTGAAAAAATGCAACAACACTCAGAAAAAATACTATTTATTTGAGCTCAATACGTGTTGTTTTACTAATTATCCAAATCACATTTGAGTCTTCAGAGATTGTTTTTTGCTTGGACAGCTTTAGGAGGCAATTGTTTAGCTCTCTGAAAGTGTGCTTTATCATTAAAGTCATATCACTCATTCATCTCAATACATGCATTTTACTGCCGATTTTCGAGTATTATTTAATGATATGTTTTTCAATCACAATATATGTAAGCATCAGGGTACTGGTGGCTTCAAGGGGCCGCTACAGATGTGCTGAATTTCGCCAGGAACAACAGCTAGCATGGGATGACGTCACGGAAAATGCGTATTCTTTGCCATGTACGTGTTGCCTACATCTATACTGTAAATGTATTTGACAAGTAAAAACTGCAATTGTAAAAACATAACACTTCACTTCATTGCCCCTTGTGTCAGCCGCGCGTGCAGGCCGGAAACATCAAGACCTGCGAGTACATGTCCTCAGTTGCGTTCTCTATGGCAGGTCTGGGTTTTCACCAGCACAAAGAGGATTTCAACCAAAAGATCTCCAAAACGCTTTGATTCTTCACATGAGGTTTGAAAACTAATAACTGCACAACATCTAGTCATATTATGTCATATGTGGGTTTCCTGAAATGGGGGTACTTCCAAATCCATTTTAATGGGAAGTTCCCTCATGTTCCCTCATAAACCATCCATTTTTGGGTACCTCCACTTTAGGAAACTCCCATATTATGTCAGCACATATGCGGCAATCACGTTCTCAAATCGTCCATTCAGGGGACCCAAGTGATGTCGCTCAATGTCAAAGCTGACAGCACCGGGGTGGATCAACGAACCCCTAAAAGGACAACCGGGATCGTGTCCACCCAGGTTTTAGGTGTTTTTCTATGCCAAAAAAAACACCAACATCAGAGGAATTGATCAAATTTGACTTTCCCAAGGCAAGAATGTGTGGGTCACACCGGTTTCACCCTTATCTTGACATCACACAAATTCAGAGAATTCATGCACCTCAGCTTTAAAGATCATTAATTAAAGCATTCAGATAATGTAAAGTAAAACAAAAGAAAATATATGTTGATGCCACCAGCCATCTACCCAGTTCTTCTGCAGATTTCCTGTTGCCCTGTGCCCAGTTCAAGATTCAAATGCCAATTCCACCTTTAGCGGCTCCGAAATCACCTAGGCAGCGGCAAGTTGGAGGTGGAAGTCGCAGCTTTTCCACCCCAAATTTAAATACTCACTCTCAGCAACCCAAACACTTTACAAGAAAGGATCAAAAAAGATCAAAAAGGTAGGAGGTCAGGTGGTGCCCCCCCAATTATGTGCGTTGGCGTATAAATCCCATGAATACGATAGATGATGGATCTTTATAGAAATATCTACCATAAACCATAGAATTCTCGCCTATGGCAACGCCGCCATAGACGGCAACAAATGCCGAGTCTCCGTCAAGAGCTCGACGGACTCAGGAGTGAGGTCTCCGGAAATCGCATGCTTCGCATTTCGGCACACGCGCCTGGCCGAGAAAGTCTGTTCGCCAGTCTGGAAGGGCGATCCCCTGGATCGATGACTACTGACATATGTCTAATAACCAATGAGCTATTGTAGTGGTTTGTTAATGTTTATTAGTGTTTATCTATGGTTATGAATGGTCATTAATGGATTATGATGATGATGATGATGATGATGATGATGATGATCCCCATATAGTAATTATCCGACGTAATTACCAGACATATCAAGGGGATATGAAGATATATTGTATACAGATCTTATTTTATTACCAAAGGACCATCTTCAAGGCCGCTACTTCCGCCACCAAAAGGTGGACGTCGCATGACGTCGCCCTTCATGCTGTGAGGAGCTTCAAGCGGAAAGTCCTAGGGTTAAGGGTAATTTTAGGATTGGTTGTTTTACGATGAATTAATTGACCAACTAGCCAACTGAGATTATGATTAATTAATGTTAAATCTATTATATATAATATATTTTATTATATATATATATATAATATATTACTATTATATATATATATATATTGGCACAACCAATTGACCAACCGACTTTATTTGTGATCCAGGTTCTAATGCACAGGATGACATGACAGCAGTTTTCATCTCCAGTCTGCCAGGTCGCTTGGTGATGACTTTGGAGACGTTGTTCTGCTTCAAATACCTCTTGAGAGTAGCTAACCTCGGCCAGACCCCCACGCATTCATATTCACTCTCTGGTAGACAGGGCACTGGAGACCCGTGAAAAAAACACAGGTTCAAATCCGATGGAAGATAACTATGAAAGGAGCGCGAACCTGGCCATCACTTTCTATAAAATCCAAACCTGACAAACCGTCAAATCAAAGCTGTCGGTAGTCTACCCTCAGTATATAAATTCATGGTTCTCGGGTCCCCCATGGCTGGGCTAACCATGGTCTGGGGATGTGTCATTTGGGTAGCATTTTATGTTACGTTCCTAATTCAACATAGGTAACTATGGGCAATTGCCATTTATAAATGGTTCATTTATCTATATTATATGAACTAGACATATTTATTTTCATAACTATGTGAAATTGCCGCGGAGTCAGTTTACGGTATGTCCAATTCATTCTCACCATTCCTCACCTAACATACCTAACCACTGGCTTAGCCAGTCAGACTTGGATTGCGTTTCTGCACTACAACTGCATCTACAACTGCAACTACAACGACAGTAGACTACACTGCACTACAACTGCAACTGGAACTACAACTCACACTATGCTACGCTACATCTTTGAAACTTCCACCACCGCCTTGTGCGGTACTACTGGTAATAACGATTTCAATCTTAGACTTCCAATGACTTCCAAATAAATCACCCCTCACAATCTGAATTTCTTGGATTTTCTTGGTGAACCCCATTTTTCACCCCCCAGGTTTTGGGCTCCGACACCAAATCCCGCCCTTCTCCGCCCCGAGTGGCTGCCGCGCCCCGCTGCCACCGATGATGTACTGCTGCGTCAGGCCTGAGGTGAAGACGCCAAGCATCACCAGGGCGACCACGAAGATGGATAAACCGATCAAGACCTGGCAGCGAGCTGCAAATGCTGCCTGGGTTTCGTGTGGAAACATGGTGATAAATACTATGTAAAATACTGGGATTTGAATGACATGTCACCAACAAACGTGGTGATTTCACGGAATGATACTGAATGTTAATGGCATTGAACCAGCAAAAATGGCACCATGCTTGGTGCTTACAGCATCCTTACAACCATATGCTTGTGAGTCAAAATTGGGTACCACAATAATTGGATGGTCAATAAACGGTTACTACATGTTAATAGCCCATCCAAAGTTAATAATGGCTACCCCAAGCAACAATACTACTTACTTATACCCATGTTAATACTCCTTTATACATGTCAACACCCAATTTTATTTCTAAAAATCGAGTAAAATTGATAATCATTGGGTATTAACATGTATCAACATGGGCATTATTAGTTAACGATTTGGGATACCCTCTGGTAAACTAACATAACTATGGAAAATAACATTTTTTTAATGGGAAAACTCACTATAAATGGTCATTTTCAATAGCTATGTTAGTTTACCGGAGGGTACAATTCCCAATGATGGTCTGCCAGGCTCCAGGTCTATCAGCTGGGAGGCCGCGAAGAGACGCTCCAGTGGGGACGCAGGATAAATCTCGTCCATGCCGCCTGGCAACAGAAAACAGGAAGGGCCCCCAGATAGATCCCCTTTTCCCGTATGTATGTATATATATATATATGTGTGTGTGTGTGTGCGTATATATATGTATATAACAGTTAGTTTCTATTGCTGTTATTATATGTTATTATTGCTATCTTTCTCATTACGATTTCGAATATTTATTATTGGCATTAATGTTATTACTATATACTATTGTTAGAATTATGATTAGTAGTCATTATTAGGTATATAGTATTATTAGCATTGTTGTTCTCTCTCTCTCTACATTGCAATCATTATCATTAGTGTTATTATAAGTATTGTTACTGTTGCTGTTGTTGATGATGCTGTTGTTGCTATAGTAACTTAGTAGGTTATTAACAACTTACAAAGTGGAATCCGCTCGCAAGCATTGAAGAGCTTAAAACTTAAAACCCAAAAAGGTGTGGTTATGTTCAATACGGTATAGTCTGCAGCAGTGAACCAACTCATTGCTGTGTGGTTTTCCCATTCATCGGGTCCAATTACATGCAACTACCGCAACATATCAGCACTCCCTCTCTGGGAAAATTATGGTAAAACATACTTCCCATGAACAAGATATGTGTTTTTTGAACCTGGGGCGATTCTTATATAGTATTATAATGTATGATATAATCCATCCTCTGTGATGTTAGGCCCGGTTGGCCCGGTTCGTCTTTGGTCGTTGCGCCCGGTCGCCCTGCTCCGCCGCTCCGCGCCTGAAAACTGCGTAAGAGCCCAGTGAAGGGAGGCAAGGTACTGCGCTTCCACTCCTACGGGACGATGAGGGGATGGAAGTCCCCGCGCCATGGAGGAAAATTGGGGGAAATGTTACCCGGCCTGGTAATGACTAACAGTTTGCTATTGAACATGGCCATAGAAATAGTGGATTTACCCATTGAAAATGGTGGATCTTTCCATAGTTGTGTAAACGTTTACCAGAGGGTAATGGGGAAATCAAGCTTAAGGGGATATCCCCACACGAAATGACCATTTTGATGGGCCAATTATCGAACTAAAAGTATCTAAAAGTGGGTTTTCCATTGCTATGTTTGATTGCGTGAGGGAAGAGATCAATAAAATGTGAGGCTGAAACTCAACAAATAACCATTGCAGCGAACAGTGCATCCTCTCCCTGGATTCAGTACTGTCAAGTGTTCAAGCTTGGGGTGCAATTCCATATCCCAGCATTAGTTGAAAGGGGAGATTACCGCTATCTCAGAGATTTGTTGAAACAAGCCAGTCTTTTGATGTCTTTTGTATAATTCCAAACGACCATTTTCGAATGGTAGACACTAATTACCAGCCATGAACCACCACTTTTCATCGACCCACTGGATCACGGGAGCGCACGGTAACCAGGCAGATCACGTAACCAGGAAGGGAAAGCGTACCGTTCGGTGAATCATCCAGTACCCTACCAATCCCCAACTTGATGGTGCGTCCCCTATGTTCGAAGTCTCCGATTAATTCGATATACTATGACTGGGAAGGGTAATCATACCACCCATAAAAATGTTGTTTTGGGGGATGGTTTATGACATTGTTTTCACCACATGATCAACATTATCATCTATTCTCCCCCTGTCTATATCCCCTATGTCTATACCCGTCATGGTTTGCTTTATGCCACATGTTTTCCAATCAAATGGTTCTTACATATTTGCACTCGTATTTACGACATATATATATATAGTATAATACCAACCCGGTGTAATAGACCCTGGTTGATGAATCTATAGTAGGTGTATCTACCCTCTGGTAAACATACAAAAAAATTGGAACATCACCATTTTAAATGGGTAAATCCACGAACTAAATGGCCATGTTCAATAGCTATGTTAGTCATTACCAGGCCGGGTATATAGCTGTCCCGCCCGGTCTTGTAGTGGATGGAACCCACCGGGAATCGATGGAAAGTTTTCCACCCCCCCAAAAAAAAACGACCTCAGTAAATCCCCAGTGTATCCTCAATTGATCTGAATTTCTTCCATCATTTTCCCTAGTAAAACTCAACTAAATCATACTAAATCCCAATTTATCCCAATGATGGTCATGTCAACCCCAAATGAATCATCTATGGCTTATGAATTAGAATGAATTAGGGGGGTACACCCCCGTCATAATCTGATACCCTCTGGTAAACGTTTATAAAAAAAAAAAAAACTATGGATCATAACGAATCATAACCACTTTTAATGGGAAAATGCACGAACTAAATGGCCATGTTCAATAGCTTTTTGTATGTTTACCAGAGGGTATATAGCTAATTATAGCTATATAAAATTGGCCTTAGACATCCTTATAGACACCAATATATAAAAATAGCTATGTTAGTCACCAGATAGCTATGTAAACCTTTACCGGCCGGCCGGGTACCTCAATGGTACCCAGTCATCCCTGTGGAATGACCAATCCAATCGCGTCCTTGCGTTTGATAGCCGCCGACCTGAACCCAGGTCGTTTCAGAGGTATCGCGAGCACCAATGGCGAACCAAAGGCAGCCGGTGAAATGCGAAAGCGTCATTAGGACCTGGGAAGTCGTGAATTGGAAAAAATTAACCAAGCAAAAATGGCTGATGGTACCATCAAGAACATGGATTATATGGATTGTACCGACAATCCAGGGGCCACATCTAGCATGATTGGATTTATGGAAAACATACCACCAAAATCCATGTTTTTTACCACTAAAATCCGTGGTTTTTACCACCAAGATCCACCAAGTATAGTTTTTCCATGTTCCTTTCCACCAATGGAAGTAACAGGAACATCTTTTGACATGATCACACAGAGTCATGATCTTCATGTTCTGGATTTACATGTTCATTCAACATCATTCAACATCATTCAACATCATTCGACATCATTCAACATCATTCAACAAAATAAATTGTTAGTAAAAATATAAGTAGAATAATAATAATAATAACAATAATAATAATAATCGATCGTGGTGATCTTCGCTATATTTCTGGATTTTCAACTTTGTGGGATGGTGCTGTGGCCACTTGGGTCATCTCAGCAGCGAATCTGCGGCACATTGCTGGCATTCCCAGCTCCCTTGCGAAATTTTGACCTCTAGTGACTCTAGTGGTTAATTATGTGTACATTACCATTCTCTCCCCCCCAAAAAAACAAACTGGAGAAAGTCTCAGAGAAAGGCTGGGAATCGCCCTGATTGATTTCAAATTTGAAATACTTTGACTCTTATATCCCGGCTTCTCCAGTCTCACCACAGCCAAAATCTATCAATCAGAAACCTGATTCAAGGCCATCAGAGTCATGGTCCATCATTAAATCAGGTCAGGTCAGCTGTAGTTCGCTAGAAATTCTCCGCTGTAAATGTGTCAATCCAGTGTGTTTTAGCAACATGTTCGTTGGTTGGATACACTTGAAGCCTCCTGTAATCCACAAGGTGGCAAAGTTCTAAAAATAACCATATGTGTTGGAGATACACAAATCTCCAAATGGCGTAGTTTCCACATGTTTCCACCTCCAGCTTCATATCACCTCTAGGGTCCTAGGGTCCATCTTGGTTTCCATCTGGTTCCCATTCGTTGCAGTATCTGCGCTAATGTTTTATCATTTTTCTGGGTTCTGGGCAGTTCTGGGTCAATATCCCTGTTTTCAGGATCAGCCAGCCAGCATGGACCATATCATGTTTCAGCTCGCCACGTACCCTACCGCAAGTTAAAAACAAACTATACGCTTGCCATATCTGTTCTTGTCACCAGATTGGTTTGGGGTCAGTTACAGTAACCAGAAATCAGTTAATTTCACCCATGAAATTTGCTGCGGTTCAATCCAAATTTTCCCTGAAATCAATGCAACGATTTGTATTGTTTGGTGCCAGTATGTTTGATGCCGTCTCTCCAATATAAAACACTGCCCCCCAAAAAAACGGGGGAATGTATTCTCTCTTCTGGATCTATTCAAGAAGGCGGCTCACAAACAGTTTGGTGGTATTGAATGCACCACAGGATGGTCAACCTGACGATCAATCCCAATGTTTGATGGTTTTTGATGGGGGTAACCATCATCCAATCTTTTTATGCCACTATTTAAACATAATACAATCCGTTCATAACCCAAGTATGACCTATTCACCTATTCAAAACATCAATTTGGGTTTGTCTGAAAATGAGGTCCTCTAAATGACCATGTTCTCATGGGGATCTTGATCACAATCCATTGGAACTAGGGATTATCCAGCGAAAAATCAAGCAAAAACAAACCCAGAAACTTGGTGTATATCTATATATATATGTGTGTGTATATACCATGTATTATAATGTATTGTATATAATATATATATATATATAAATAAATAAATCATCCGAATTTTGATCTTGGGGTATCCCCTGAGGAAACCTCCATTTAAACCTGAACAACGGTGCTTCACTGAGCAGTGTCAACGCGGCGTTCCGAGCCACGATGGTCACCTTGCTCACCTGCACCACTGGCCCCAGCGCTTCTGATTGGATCCGCTCAGTGACCTGAAAAGCCGGCAGATCTGCAGCTATGGCAGCTATATCATATAAAATCATATATGTTAATGATAAATGATCATATTACATATGACAATACATCTGATTGTATACATACAAATGATCGCATATCATAATATGATAATAGAACGATAATATGTATGTATATATATATATATGAAATACAACGATAATATATGATAATATAGTGAACATATACCGATAACTTTATTGATAATACATGAAAATATGTATATACCCGTATGTCTAAAAAAATAAATATGTGTGTGTTTAAATATATATATATATGCATTCATGATTGTACTAATATGTGTGTGTGTATGATGATAACGTTGACCATCATCATCATCATCATCATCATCTGGTTGGTGGTTTTAACCAGCTTAAATATTAGTCATCATGAGTTCATGCACATATTTGCCATCCCCCAACTAACAGGATCCAACAGGCTGATCCGTTAGTCTTTCGGCTGGAGATTCTGCATGATTTCAGTGATAAAAAATGATTTTGTCAAATGACAGTGTACCAAGTATATTATATTATTTTATATTATATTGTATTATATGATATGAATTTATATCATTTGTTTTAATTTATATGATTTTATATTATGTTACATTTAAAAAACATTTTAATTTATATTATATTATCTTATATTATGTAAAATATTACATTATATTATCTTATGCTATTTTATATTATATAATATTTCACTAGTTTATATTATATTATATCGTTTTATATTATGTGATTTTACATTATATTATGTTATTTTATCTTATATTATGTTATATTATTTTTTATTAAATTATATTATTTTATTTTATTTTAAAATATACTATATTATTATATATGATATCATATTATATTATATTACAGTAAATGATGCTCATGTATAATTTGCATATGTGGGCATGTGTGTGTGTGTGATAGCTTATATATATATATAACTATGTTACAGTATATATTGTTATAATGTATACATATAGCTCTCTCTCTCTCTCTCTATCTCTTTTCCTTCCAGGACCTTCCGGGCACTGGGTAGTCAGCCAACCCCACCAAGCTGAAGCTGATCCCAAGAAAATTGGGTTGATTCACTACCAACAACCATGCTCATAAGGGCGCATCTCAACCATCTATGATTGGGAGGGTGCCGCAGTCTTGGGATTTTTTCATACCTGTGAATGTTCATACGCAAGCATGGCAGTGTATTATCCTGCACCAAACTGCACATACGCATGGGTTCTCCACATGAAGCGCCCTGCAACCGGGGATTCTTGTTACAAATGCTCCATCATCTCCATCTCGACATAGTTTCCCCTATAAATATCTATAAATAATCTGGTTGGTGGTTTAAACCCCTCTGAAAAATATTAGTAAATTGGGATTATTCTTCCCAATAGATGGAAAAATAAAAAATGTTCCAAACCACCAACCAGTAATGTACCGTATAACGTGTACCAACGGATAAAAATTCATCTACCAAGTCATCGGTCAGAAGAGAAATTCCAACAGCTGTCCGGCTAGCCAGTGTGGCGATAATGTGTTGATAATTACATGTATATATAAATATATACACACATATCTCTCTCTCTCTCTGTGTCCATGATGGTCCATGATGGTCCATGCATCCTTTTTTCTGATAGTTCAAATCCACTGATATCCCTGCTCCTATAGCATCCCCAAAACGATAGAAGAGCAATTCCACATTCCACACTGTTTCAGCAGAAACTTACTCCTCTATCCCCCTCTCCTGCCCTTCACCAGCTGGTTTCCCCCGCACCAGCTGAGCCCAGAGGCGTTGGTCATGATTTCCTGCATCCGCACCAGGCGTAGCAGCCGCACGATGCGAATGATGCGGGTGCTACGCGCCAACGTGATCATGGAGGTACCTAAGACAGGCGGCTTCACGACGTGGCATTTTTCAGGGACATGTTTTGTTTTAGGCCGCATGTCTTGGAGCAAACATACCAAATCAATCCAAATGAAGTTTCCCTAGAAATCCGTGGTGGGATATGGTGGGTGTTCTACATCTTGGTTTACGGTAGAGTAAATCTCAACGGTTTGACTCTCAAAGCGAGACCGTCTCGATTCCCCATCCAGAGATGGAAGAAAATTTGTTCCCCGAAACATGAAGAACTCGTGGTGAGTCTACCGGACTTTACCATCCAAATTAACTGAAGAACCTATCATGGGTTTTAACAAGGCATATTATGTTTTTTAATACTTCAAGTATGGCATGGAAGGTAGCCAGTGGTTTTCACTATCCACATGCACAAAAAACATATGTCTTTTCAATGACCATCCAACTGAAAGGGATTCATGCAATTGTTCCCTAACACCATTGCTGTCACAGCTCTCAATAGCATATACATCACACACACACATGTACATATATATAATCATGTAATTACATGTCATTTTTGAAATTATATGATGATATATGATGATATCATGTATGCACACAGGTTTCAAGACAATGCCGTTGCAATTCCCAGGTACAGTACGGTAGTCAGTAATCGAATCTGACTATTGGACAAAAAACGACACGACGCAAACAAATGATGTTGGGAGACATTTGGCCATCCCGCCTCCAGAAGAAAAGATCACCTCTGACCAATCCGAGCATACCTCAGCGGGGGATAATCATCCCATTGAAAAGACATGTTAAACTTTATACCAACCAGCAGTCCAACTGTTGGGATACCAAGGTATCCAAATCTGGGGCCCTAATAGTTTCTCACTTGCCAGGGCGCGATCAGTAAATCCATGCCCAACCAGGTCTTCGCATAGCGCTTCCTCACTACGGGTATGTTGTTGGCACGTTGTGCCACGCTTTTTGGACAAGATTTTACCAATACAATTCGGATTTACCCACCGTGATACATCTGAGTACCTACACCACCAAACATCACTTCATATCCAAGAACAGATCATGCATGGGTCGAAATTGGCTAATTAACGTTTTACCAAACATTGAACAGCAAAAATGAATCAACCATAACATAACCAAAGCAGCGGTTCCGGGGCCGTAACTTTTGACTTTTATTTTGACCCACATCCACCTTGTAAGTGTACCATAGCCGTATGGAGCGGGTGGGTTATCGTTGGTGTGACCCACCCCCATTCCAAAACTCACAGCTCTTGTGTATTAAAAAGCCGAGTCTGATGTCGATCCCTTGATTAAGGCCCCTGCGGTGCATCTGAAAACAAGATGCAACAACAACAACAAGTAGAAGTAGAAGTAGAAGTAGTAGTAGTAGTAGTGGTAGTAGTAGTAGTAGTCGTCGTCGTAGTAGTAGTAGTGGTCGTAGTAGTAGTAGTAGTAGTAGTAGTAGTCGTCGTCGTAGTAGTAGTAGTGGTAGTAGTAGTAGTAGTGGTAGTAGTAGTAGTGGTAGTAGTGGTAGTAGTGGTAGTAGTGATAGTAGTAGTAAATGGTGGTAGTAGTGGTAGTAGTGGTAGTCTTGGTAGTAGTAGTAGTGGTAGTAGTAGTAGTGGTAGTAGTAGTAGTAGTAGCAGTAGTGGTAGTAGTAGTGGTAGTGGTAGTAGTAGTAGTGGTGGTCGTAGTAGTAGTAGTAGTAGTGGTGGTGGTAGTGGTAGTAGTAGTAATGGTAGTAGCAGTAGTGGTAGTGGTAGTAGTAGTAGTAGTAATAGTTGTTGTTGTTGTTGTTGTTGTTGTTGTTGTTGTGCTTGTGGTTGAGGTTGTGGTTGTAGTTGTAGTCTTTGCCGTTGTCGTTGTCGTTGTCGTCGTTGTGGTTGTTGTGTCGTCGTTGTCGTTGTCGTTGTCGTTGTCGTTGTGGTTGTGGTTGTGGTGGTGGTTGTGGTTGTGGTTGTGGTTGTTGTTGTGGTTGTGGTTGTGGTTGTTGTGGTGGTTGTTGTTGTTGTTGTTGGTGGTGGTGGTGGTGGTGTGTATCACCCCACCTGCAATCTCCAAGAGAGCATGAGAATGGATAAGTTTTAAACCCACAATGCCACAATGTTGATTAATGTTGCATCATTTCATGAGTATCTTGGTCAATCAACCCCGTCAAAGCACATGCATGTTCTACAAGCATAGCGCTTTACCATTCTTCTCAGCCATGTGGGCAACCCAATGCCATAAACCTACGATTTGGGCATGGTTGACATCGAACCCATTCATGGTGATTTTGGGGGATCTCTTATGACATTGGGTTTACCACATTATGAACCATAGGGGAAGCAACCAAAAGTAATTAATACCGACTATACAATCAGATCATATCAGATCTAATAGTCATCAATGAGCTTTGGGCTCATATTCAGAAGGGATCATATTCAGAAATGAACTAGGGTAGTCCAAACTGCAATAAAACAATGGAATCGTGAAGTCAAAACTGCAGAAAATGAAAGGAAATCTGCCTCGGCGCCCCCAAAATATTTTATGTTTTTTATTATATTACTATTTTATTTTACTTTTTTATTAGGATTTTTTTATTGTTTCCTATGTTTTCTATGTTTTCCTATTTTATTTTATGTTTTCAAGTTTTTCTCAGTTCTGGAAGGTAATTGAATCAGTAATTGAAGGAACATCCAGCTGGCTATCCACAATATGTTTTTCCATTATTTTTAAATATGTTTAATTTGTTTGTTATGTTTAATTATTTTTGTATATTTTTTGATAGCTTCCATTATTTTTCCTCGATTGTAAGTACTTTTGCTTATTTGTTACAATTTGGTATTATTTATTCTGATCTTAATTTATTGTTTCTTATCATTATTTACTATTTTCTATTTTTTCCATGATTATGATCCCTGATTAGGCTCCCCGTTCTAGAAGAAATCAATATCATTAAAATCAACGATGAAAAGTCAAGGTTTTTCCAAAGCTTCAGGATGGTCTTGAGATCATATTCCACCGTCCCATCTGCACGTACCACTCCAGTCGTACCTCAGTGCGCTTCAGCAAGGATTACCGTAGGTAAACCAACATAAACATAGCCATAATATGGCAATCACCATGGATATTAACGAGGTATTAATGATCTATAAATGGGCCATTGTCCACAGTATCTGTTTTCTGGAGGGTAAAGGTGTGCATTCGGTCTGATGCATTTGATTTTTGCAGGGTTATTGTAGGTTGTACAGATACGCTAGGTACCTCTACAGCAGAATACGCACCAACTCTTTCAAATGCCATTCGAAATCATTGAGGGTATGTCAACTTCCTCTCAACGACTTCGAAATGGCTAATGAATGAACCCAAATTTTGTACCCCCACAAGTTGCGCTCGTGATTTGTGCTGCCAGGGGTGGCAACTTACCAATTGGTATTTCCGGAAACCTACTTGGAGGGTCTCTGAGCGTACCCTCATTCATTGATTCATCTTCGGGAAAGCTGAACTAATTTCACCATCTCACGATGTTCCTTTTTTTGTTTTTCTATCCATCCATCCATCCATGGATCTTCCACCTGATTCTACACTCAGGAATAAGGCTTTTTTGCTATACTCCAACCTGATCCCAGCAGCATGAAAAGAAAATGTCGAAGGTCCAGAACATCCGAGTCCTGAAACAGCGACTGGCTCACCACAGCGCTGAGGACTGTCCTTCCTATCCAGGCATGATTCCAGTATTGTTATGTATTGTTCATCCCCAAATGAACCAACCCCCGGACGTTGTTTTTTGGGACGGGTACCATGTTAGTATCTGGATGCTTTGGGGCAAATAGTCGATAATCATCGTTATTTGGGGTAACCCCCCTAAGTCCTTGATAAACCAAAGTGTACAAATCAAGGGCGGTTGAAATTAGTTGTTTTCGGGCATGCATGATTATATGATTGATGAGTACGCATCATTCTTGTATGTATCTTTGCAAGTTGATTCCTTTTCGTTACTACTGCATGCTATGTGCAGGATACACATTGGACCTGAGCACGGTCCATTCAGACCCTGGGATTTTATGAAGGCCATTCTACATGTCATTTGTTTTTCAGGGGATGCTTCAAAATAACGAAGTGCACCCCCATGCCAATCAACGTCGAGACTCGTCCACTCCATAAAATCTAAGAAGAGATTTTCCGGCAAAGTGTAGGCTTGCCTCAGCGAGGCTTGCAGGATGCTGCCTGGTCGCTACTTAAGACTGATCAATAATGATCCATATAATGTCAACTCCGGATTAATAAACCATGGTTTATTTTATTAATTAGGGGGGTACTCCTCCAATAGTCATAATTAATCTAATTCTTGTTTTATGGTACCCTTTCAATTAAACAGCCGTTTGGACGGGGTTTATTAATCCAGGGTGATCCAAAAAAAAACTTCTGACATTGTTGGGATCTGATGAAATTGGCATCTCTGGCTGCCGAGGTACATGGGAATCATGACCAGGTCATACAAGACCATAATGAGACTTCCCAGGTCCCAGGAGACCCGGATTTTCCTGCCACAAAGGATCACAAAGCAAGGCCACCACTGGTGCCCCAGTCCGAACTGAACTAGCTAGCTTGGTTAGATTCTACACATGTAACATCATATTATAACTGTTGGGATTATCAGGGTGCAGAATAGTTTTTGGATTTTTTTTTGGCTCAGGTTTTGGAATTTTTGTTGGCTTTCTTTCCTGGTACCACCTGCCTTGTATTTGCAACAGTTTGGAACTAGAATCTGTAATTTTGCATGGTATTTGCTACATTTTGGCACTTCAAACGTTCATGTGGGTTTCTTGAGAGTTTCTTTAAGGTTTCATTTAGGGTTCCATTCAGGGTTTCTTTTTGGGTTTCATTTAGGGTTTCATGTAGGGTTTCATTTAGGGTTTCTTTAGGGTTTGATTTAAGGTTTCTTTGGGGTTTCATTTAGGGTTTCATTTCAGGTGTCATTTATAGGTTTTCTTTAGCTTTAGGGTTTCTTTAGAGTTTCATTTAGGGTTTCATGTAGGGTTTCTTATCTTGATTTCCAAACGTTCATGTGGGTTTCTTTAGAGTTTCTTTAGGGTTTCATTTAAGGTTTCCTTAGGGTTTCATTAAGGGTTTCTTTAGGTTTCATTTAGGGTTTCATTCAGGGTTTCTTTAGGGTTTCTTCAGGGTTTCATTTAGGGTTTCATTTCAGATTTCTTTAGGTTTAGGGTTTTTTAGAGTTTCATTTAGGGTTTCATGTAGGGTTTCGTTTAGGGTTTCTCTAGGGTTTCATTTAGGGTTTCTTTAAGTAGGGTTTCATTTAGGGTTTCATGTAGGGTTTCTTATCAGGAGTTCTTATCAGGATTTCTTTAAGGTTTCTTTGGGTTTCACCTAGGGTGTTTACAAACAGGAGAGAGTAAAGCAAAGGAAAAGAAAAACAAAGATGCAGTAAAGACAGGAAGCAGAGAAGCAGAGGAGCAGGAAGTAGAGCAACAAAAACACATGCCTGAAGAGAAGAAAAAGTAGAATAAGTAGAATAGTAGAAGTAGAAAGGCACAGAAGCACAAAAGCAGAGAAGCAGGGAAAGCAGAGAAGAAGCAGGTAAAGCGCAAAAGCAGAAGAGCAGAGAAGCAGGGAAAAGCAGAGAAGCAGGAAACAAAAGAAGCAGGTAAAGCACAAAAGCAAAGAAGCAGGGAAAGCAGAGAAGCAGGAAAAATAAGAAGCAGGTAAAGCACAAAAGCAGAAGAGCAGAGAAGCAGGAACCCAAAAATAATTCCAAAACCTGCCGCAAAAAAAATACCAAAAATAAATAGCCCTCCGGTTTATAATGCGATATATATATTATATGTATATATATTTGATGTGTGTGTGTGGGGGGTAATGGAAAGTGTATCTAGACTTAATATTAGTTGACAGACTGAAAGTAAACCAACTTCAGTGGGCAGCACCATGTTGCCAACACACAAATGGAACCTCCCTTGGCCCAGCCGCCCAGCCGCGAAACGAATCAAGGTCACACAGGAAATCAGGAAATCCATAGGAAATCCATCTTGTCCCATGGGAATTCCTCGATCTTTCTGGGTTTTTTTCCATGTGTTTTTTCCCCCGCAACAATCTGCCCATCCTCTGCCGGATCAAATCTGCCAAGAGACCCATCCGGATTCAGAATCCATCCATGTGGCGGGGGTTCCTGATAGTCATCCTCATCCTCTCTGAAGGGAATGGAGCTCTCGGCATCTGCCTGCGCGAAACCATGGGGAAACCCATGGGACTTCATCCCTGTGAAGATTGAAGAGGATGTAAGGGTTGATCGCTTATAATTTATAACCCACTGAAGTCACTTGATATTCTCTATATGTATATATATATATTATATATCAGTATATAAGAATAAGAGTGGAGTGTAATATGGCTACGTAATTATAATATGCTATAATAATTGTGGTGGTTAAGCCACCCCTCCGGGGAAAAAGACAACTGTAGGCCATCGGGGGTAATCATCTGAGGTCTATGGTTGAAAGATGTTGAAAGAAAACATGAAAGCACCAACTATGGGACCTTCACTTTAGGATCTGGGAAGTTACAAAGCAGTCAGAATCGCTCCATATCCCTTTATATATACCCACCCACTCGATACACCAATTGACCATGCCGTAGATTTTATTATAATTACGGTGCATGTACTCGATGACAGTTCGCAGAAATTTGCTTTGCCCAGTGCTGTTGTGGAAAATGATGTCCTCCCAAGAGCTTTTTTTGGCAAATGGGAATTGCAATCACATGTGCCGTTTGATCTTCGATAAGCTTTCCTTTGGTCAGCGTTTCTTTCTTGTAGTTGCCATTTCTATATTGCTTGACCGGGGGCACCCCCGAAATCTCATGGTTGATCATCATTCTCCGTAGTTAAAACAATACCCTCTGGTAAACTAACATAGCCATGGAAAATCACATTTTTTAATAGGTAAACCATCTATAAATGGGCCATTTTCAATAGCTATGAAAATAACCAGAGGGCAAATATTTGGATCATTTTGGATCCTTTCATTTCGGGACAAATCCAACACAAACACCGGGGAATTCCTCAGGTGGCGGGAAAAAAAGGACATGGCGCACCTGACTTCCTCGTTTCATCTTCCGCATTTGTTTCCTGAGCCAACGGTTTATGCACCCGCAAAACCAATGAAACTGGCGGAAATCCAACCTCATCATGACAGACATGCCCACACGAATGAAATATGAATCTTATGAAAGAGATAAATCCAAACACATAAACTGGAAGACTCTTTACTGAATTTTGCTGAGACGTCTTTTCAGTTGTAGCACATCTTGAAGTATTCGACGGTCCATGTACAAAGGTGTTAGAATATTGATGGCCAAGTCATGATCCAACGAAGATCTTAACCACATTGACCTTGGTCAAACATAACTCACAACCACCCATGATGCTGGCAAAAATGCTTTGAATTAATATAGAATTCAGGTTCTAAAATGTTCTAAACCTGTTTTTTTCCTTCACCTCCATGGTTCCCATATCCCATGACGGATCCATGGTGCTGCTTTTTTTTGGTGTGCCATGGATCCCATCAATATACCCCAGTCATGTTAGCATTACCAGCACCGTTAGGATCCGTCATGGGTACCATCTGATAAACTAACATAGCAATGGAAAATCACCATGTTTAATGGGAAAATCCACTAGAAATGGCCATTTTCCATAGCAAACTGTTAGTCATAACCAGAGGGTATGCCAGCACCAGCCGGATCCGGATCCCATGGTATCCCGTGGTATCCCATGACGAGTGGCTCATTGGCTCGCCAAAGGTCCAACAGCTCGAATTGCTCCTCCCCCGCCACCGTGCTGCGGCCGCTGTCGGAGTCGGAATCTTCACCCTCTTCCTGCGGAAGCGAAACAAAAAACTCATGGAGGGCTTGAGAAAAGGTGGATTTTTCTTGGTTTAGTTCTGACTTATTCTGATTTTTATATGAGTTAATTGGATGTTGCGGGTATTTACAAGGTGTTTAGTGCGACTTTATCTCATAGTGAGGGTTTGAAAATCAATTTTTATGGGGTGTTGCGTTGTCCATTATGATTTTCGAACTTACCACGTGAGACTATAAAATTTGCCATGTTCATGCAATTTTATCCGCCTCTTAAGTGATTAATCCCATCCCTTTAACGGTTTAACCATCAGTTTAAGTTTAAGCATCCTGAAATGGGGAAAAACACCAAACATGACTGGGCCCTCAAAATGTTTCTAGGGCAAGAACCCCCACGTGTTCTTTTCACATTCCGCTGGAGTTGTTTCATTTCATTAGCCCAATTGAATGGCGCCCCTTCCGGGCACAGTGGATGGGATCTTTCAAGAGGTGACAGGATTCCAAGCTGTGGATGTTGGGGAAAACATGTGTTTTTTTTTCTTTTCTTGACTCGCTTGGGAGATGGTTTCACGATGAACCCGGGACGGCTTTCTTCGTGATCTTCTGTGGCTTCTTGGATCATGTCGACTTCAACTGGCTGAATCCAACAGCATCGGAGAATAAAACAAAGTGACAAGGCGGGATTGCATTATTGACCGCATCTCATGGAACATCGATGTAAATCATGGCACACCTTTTGAATCCGTGATCTTCAGCTTCTACCAGGTCTACCACTGGTCTACCAGGTCTACTCGTGTCGAAGCCCGCAACGTTCCGAACCGCCGCACCTTGGCGCGCTTCTCCGGTTCCTCTGAAGGGGAGCCCGGCAACACGCTGACATTGCGCTTGATCACCTGCACAAAGCAGGTAACTCGATTGGTTCGGATTGATGTAATGTCAACCGCTGATGAGTAACCTCCAGTAAACGTTTACATAACTATGGGACAACTCACCTTTTTTTTATAGGTGAATCATCTATTATAAATGGGCAATTTCTGACTATGGCTATGTTAAATTACTGGATTTTCAACCACCAGGGTGCTGAATACTCGGTGGTTGACCCTCCGAAAATTGATCAACCCGCTCGGTGAATCCAGGGGTGAAAATCGGAAATTGCTCGAAATCTACTGGGTTTCCAAGACTGAAAGTTGGTTTTATGCCATTCAATTAGTGTTCCTGCTGATGGATGAATCCATCAAAAACCCTCTGGTAATTTAACATAGCTATTGAAAATGGCCATTAATAGTGGATTTTCCCATTAAAAATTGTGATTTTCCATAGCTATGTTAGTTTACCAGAGGGTATCCCAGCCAGCTATCTCTGGGGGATATCCCAGCCACAATTTTTCTGGGTCAAATCCTCATGGGTGAGCACGAGCGATAGTCCGATAGTGACCTACGGACCTACTGAGCACTCAACAAGTGGTCCATATAATCTGGGTAAATTATAATAATGCACTAACCTGAAATAAGGCCATTTGGGGATGATTTCCCTTACTAACCATGATTCCAGTGAGGTCGCAGTGAGGTCGTTATAATTTACCCAGATATAATCTTTCCATACATGTATATACATATAAAACTGTACATATATATTGTGTATATATAATTATATATACATATAAATATGCATATGAATGTATCTCACTGAGAGTTGGGGTATTCAACGGCAAACTTTGATGCTGCCCACAGTTGCTATCCTACACCCGAATGTTTTACATCTGTATGTACTCAATGGTGTTCACATCTGATTTCCATATGATCCGTTGATGATCACCTTACAACTCTTACAACTGCAAGACATCGCAAGACTGGGCCATCATCACAGGGTCAATCTTACAATTTTAAGCTAATCTGCTAACATGTTGATGCAGCTGGTTAGCAATTATCCTTAAATACCCCCATGGATTGCAAAAGAATGCAACACATTATTAAGCACTAAAATATCTAAAGTACACATTACACATATCAAAGTTGTTTTTTAAACTAATATAGCTAAACTAACTTAACATCTTGGATGGGTAGGACTAGATGATCTAAACAACTCAGTTGCCCATCCAGGGTGTCACCTGGCGCCCTCCCTTCGCCGGCGGGGACGGGTTGGCTTGTGCAATTTCTCCCTGGGGCAATGGTTTCCTGGGCTTCAAAAAATGGGACGGCGAAACATTCTGGGGATATCAGTCACACACACACACATATATATATATAGTTATATGATATCAAGATAAATCAAGCAACAAAACTGGAAACACGGCTGAACAACGACTACTCAATTCTTGCGAACAAGTAGTTTTTACTCGTACTTTCTTTTTTGGGATTCACATAGTGCAATCATGTCCTGTTACTGCGGTTGCGACTTGCCACTGTGGACCCGAAAACAATCTGGAAGAGACCCCGATTGAAACGGCTTTTCATGATTGATTTATAAGAACGATTCATGATGATTTTGGGGATGCTTTATTGTTGGGTTCCGCATTATTCAACATGTTTCAGGAGTGGTACCCATCAAACCCGTGGCATCCCAGCTGGGCGAGGCTCCAGGGCTCTGGGTTCTGCATGGAAGATCCTGTGGGGACCCAGGCCATAAAGGCCTGCCAGGTGCCACCTGCCACGAAGCTGGTGGAAATGGGGTCTCTCTCAATTCCAGCTGATCTCCCATGATCCACCCAGGAAGTTTTTGGTTCCATGGGTAGAGGTATCTGTTTTTGGTTCCCCTGCACGTGAGACGTCTGATATCGTCATATGACAATCTCCCGACAACAACTTCCCACAAAAGGGAACGGGAGATGCCATAGCTGCGATTCCTCCATTTCATGAGCAGTTGAAAATCCCGAATCCCTTCCCGTTTCAGGTTCATGAACAACACTTCCTGAAACCTCCAAATTTGGGTACATAGCTAAGTCAGTTAACGCACATAAGTTGCTTAACGTTTGGCTTTATGGGGGATATAACGAACCAATGGGCTTCGAAACCAACACACATCACGAGGGCTCAGGTTCTGGGGATCTCCCACCAGCGCCTGGGTCTTTTCCCCCTTTCCGCTGGCTTGTCCGCTGCGTTCTCTGATTCTGGGGCGGCCTCGGTTCGCCGTATGATGGGGGGGGAGCGTTTTTTGGGGTGGAGGCTTGTGGGGATCGGGGAAACCCCCGTACTAAATGAAGGGGAAACATATGGAAAAATATCTTTAAAGAGGGGAAGGTTCCATTGACATGTTGGCAAAACAAGATTGAACATCCAGCGCCCACAAAACATATAGGGGTAACTGACCGGTATGGACCGATGGAAGATTATTTTACGGGTGAAAATGGCAATCTCTTGGGGTCCTCTGCAACTTTCAGAGTTTTCCCCTGAGCATCTTTGCAGAGTCTTCGCATCTGGTAACGATGAGCAACAAAAATTGTCTTTCAAGATCTCGAGAGATTTATGGGCAAAAACAAATCTGCTGCACGTCTGCTTGACCAGCCGCCGCATTCAAAAACTATACAACCCAAAGTGTGAGAACCATATATCATATGTCGAAGATAGTGCCTAAACTGCTAAACAGCTGAAGTTACGCTGCCGGCGGGAAAACCAAAGTAGACCCTGGCAACCAGCCTGCCTGCCAGTTGGGCTGGCACCGCAGTGGGGATCATCAAATCATATCAAATCATCAAACGGGGCCATGGCTTCACACTGGTAAAGAACCAGAGGGTATATTGAAGATGGTGTATTCTGGTGGTACCAAAAATATTTTTGGTGTATTTTTTACCAGATTTTACCAGAGGGTATATTTTTGGTGTATTCACATCTGGTGTATTTTTGGTAATTCACCCCGATGTCCAGATGTGAATTACCAAAAAAAAATACACCAAATGTACCAGAAATACACCATCTGTATTGAATTGTATTTCTCAACCAACCAGATATGTCCAGCGATCAATGGCTGACACTCCAAGGCGCGGGAATGCCATGTCATTTTTCTTTTTCCCATCGTCTTCATCATCCTGTCACAGGAGACCTCTATGTAGACTACTGCCGTACACATAAAAAATTGAAGATAAGATACATAGAATAGATAGATAAATAAATAAAGGGAGGACGGCCAATGATTATATACGCAAATACACGCGCATAGTATTTATTGTATTTATTGTAATTATGTATGATTGTATGATTGCATGATTGTATGTACGGTACGGTACGGTATACAGTACAGTACGGGACAGGACGGGACGGGACGGCACGGCACGGCACTGCACTGGACTGTACTGTACTGTACGTATGCATGTCAAATGCCCGCAACTGGGTTTGTCTCCCAAAGTTAGAAGAGAAAATTGGCGTGCAGTGGTACTGGCAATTGTTGGCTTCCATGCATTCCATCTCGGAATCTTGCTGGAGGTTAAGTCAAAAAAAAACAGGCTCAAAGCAAAATCCTCCTTACATGGGCCATGAAGTTAGTTAACTAACTAATGAATGGATTGTAATTGGGATATGGATGGGTATGGTGGATTTCTATGGATTATAATCCAGTCACTAACCAACTGGCGAATCCCATGGCCCATCTATAATCATCTATATAAGTCCATTCCATCAAACTTGAAGCTACTCCCTTTACTCATGGCCTGCTGGAATATAATAAATGGATAGATTCATGGCGGTTTTACATGGGAAAAAATGGATATTAATACAAATGGAGGTTAAACATATGGGAAAATCTACAGGGCCTCTATGAATATATAGCTGATTTTCCCATTGCTCATGATTTTCCCATTAACAGACTCCCATTTTGTTCGGCGATGTCATGGCGATGTCCTTTGATTTCCACCCATTTTTTTGGGCCACACGCTGCCCATCAAAGCCCTGTAGCCCTGTCCTGAAACGCATTCCGTCCTCTCTTGGCTTTCTTTTTTGGCTCGGGAGGCGCCATGTTTTGAAACCTCCGCGTACTTCGCCAGTGGCTGCATGGCGAATGAACAACCGAATGGTAATTTGAGTCATTTGTGAATCAAAAATGATAAGCCTATATATATATATGTATACATAAAACATGGTTGCAACTGGTATCAAATGGCAATTTCTTCGATGGCCAAGGAACATCACCTGCTGGACATTCTCAGTGGATTTCAAGCCGACTTTCTCGCGCAAGAGCAGGTTTTCCTCGGTGGCCGTTCAGCCAAGTGATTCTCCGGTCGAAGACCCCCAAAAATGGATGCAATCAGAATGTATCAGAACATCATGTACCCTCTGGTAATTTAACATAGCTATTGAAAATGGTGATTTATAGTGGATTTTCCCATTAAAAATTGTGATTTTCAATAGCTACGTTAAATTACCAGAGGGTAATGCAAAAGCATCCTCTCATCCTTTTTTCACTGAAATGGTTTTGTAATTCACTCCATTCATCTATGATTCCAAGTGCCACCTGCTCTGCAAGTAAACCCATCCTTTCTCAGGGTCCAATTCTCCAAAACAAGGCCGTCGCAAGAATTGTTTCACCTAAGGCTCGGCCAACAGGTTGGCCATCTCGAATTCATGGGATTGTTGAACTTCTTCCAGGCCATCTAAATGCTGCATCAGCACCTGGCAGATCAAAGGGTTGCAGTGTTCAAACCCCGAAATGTTGGCCCTTTACGCTTGCTGGTTCAAAGGATTTCCCATATACTTATGATATATATTATTATAGGTCATCCCCAAATGTACAGCATTGGGTAGCATAACTCCATAGAATCATTAATCACAGGGGTTTTGAACACCACTCAAATGGAGACAACTCGATCAGCAAACTTGACCCGATTTCCCCATGAATGACATAATTGTCAGTTGAACGCCCTTATTTTCCAGCAACGTTTTCTTTATTTCATGGTGAAATCCCAAGAAATGGAACCTCCTTCCATGGATCATCATGGTTCCCAAATCCAGGAAACCTTAAATCATATTTGAGTCATTTGTTCATCATATTGTCCAGATCAATGGATTTGTGTCATAGATTTTTTGGTCTTGGATTCGCCATTCATAAAACATCCAAATATTAGACACACTGTGGATGGTTGCGAAATCCTGCACCACCTTGGATGGTTTTTATTTCTCAAACAATTGCATAAAACAACACCGTTTTCAACTGGTGCAGGAGTTCTTCCACACTAGGGATATACCCTCTGGTACACTAACATAACTACGTATGGAAAATCACCATGTTTAATGGGAAAATTCACTATAAATGGCCATGTTCAATAGCAAACTGTTAGTTTACCAGAGGGTATATCATGGATGAAATCCTATGGGAAAATCTGATGGGATAGCGACATGGCCTCTTCTGCTTGAGCACGGAATTCAGCCACGACCCTCGCCATGCCCAACTCCAGCAGCTCAATTTGTTCCTGGATCCATGGGAAAAGCGATGTGTAGTAAGACCCACTTAGTAGCCTCTGGTAATTTAACATAGCGGAAATGGACCATTCATAGATGATTTTTACAAAACAAATACTAAATTACCTAGGCATGGTAGTTTTCCATAGCTATGTTAGTTTACCAGAGCGTAAATGATGAACGTGTTATTAATTTAAGTGGGATTTTGCATCTTTCGATCTTTTTGGTGCTACAATGAGACACCCACCTGGCCTGAAAAAAACGCACATTGTGGGATTGTTACCATCCTTTAGCCCACCAGGAATGGAGATTTGAGCCAACCAAAATAGGATTAGAAAATAGTTTAATGTGGGTAAAACAATGTCACAAACCATCCCCCAGGAAAAACACCATTTTCATAAATCGTATGGTTACCATTCCCAGGAAAATGGGTGGTTTATGGCATTGTTTTCACATTAATTAAGATGTTTTAAATTGTCTCAAAAAACTCAGAAGGTCGTGATGAAGACTCAAATGGTCTGATTTTAGAGAACCAGTACAGGAAAGCCCAGCATGGGAACCAACTGTGACCTGCCCCATTCTCAGACACCCAAAATGCCTTTCACCATGCCCCATTCCCCCAAAAAAATAAAACGATATAAAACGTAGTATAAAGCTAGCATATTGGTCCAATTGGATCCATACATATTCCCCCAGAACCAACGACTTCCATCAACATCTTAGCTTTGACTCATGATCGCTGAGGAAGCCAGATTGAGCCACAACCATTGGTACAGGACGCACATGTATTACTCTGGGCAAATTCATTCTAATATTTCACTAACCTGAATCTTGCGGCCATTTTGGGATGATTTCCCTTATTAACCATGATTCCAGGGTTCGGGAGAACAGTGAGGTCGTGATCTAATTTACCCAGATTGATGGTTTTTATCACTATAATCCATTGATGGGTAAGGTTTTCATGTTCACAAAATAATCAATGGATATCCATAGTTATCACCAATTACCCCATAGAAAGCCACTTGATTACCCTCTGGTAAACTAACATAACTATGGAAAATCACCATTTTCAATGGGTAAATCAACTATAAATGGCAATTTTCAATAGCAAACTGTTAGTCATAACCAGAGGGTAACCCCTTCCATTTGATGTTCAGTTGAACCAGCTGGTAACCACAAGGTCCAGGTCCACCGAGTTTCTTGCAAGGTGTGGCGATCAGGACTACTGGAACCTGTGGTTCAAATTGGGATCCATAGAAAAAAGTCTGGATCCAAGACTCCAACTGGCTGGTTGATTCCATGAGTTTTTTTTGGCCCCATTTGCAGCAAACATAGAAATCCAATTTTATCCAGAAGCAAAGTATCAATTATATCCTACTGAACTACCAATCCAGCTGGCTTTCCCAGAAATGGATGACAACTGCCAGTTCTCTATTTTCAGGGATTTTCAGACGCACCCAAATGTAGTACCTTCTGAATGGATTTCCCATGTACCTCTGGTAGTAGCAGGCAGGGCTCACAAAGGCTGTAAATCCATCCACCCCGCGTTGTTCAAGACGATGGGGGCCCAGAAAGCTTTGCTTTGCACCAAAACTGGTGGGTGGTTTCAACCCGTCACCATCCCTGCCAAAGTAGATTTTACATACCAATAATCACAAATCGTTTTAGACATGCACCAGTATCGTTGGCACTATCCGGCAAAAATGTCACCAAAAAAACAGGAGATGTCCCACATGGATGGAATCATAGGATGTTTTGGTTCCTTGAATCTCTTGAATCTCCTAATTAACAAGATATCTAAAATGGACCCCGTAAAGCCCATGGGTTCCGGCAGGGCAACGTGGATCAATCTTCTTGTCCTTGTCCTTGGCCGGGTTTTTGAGACCATCAAGATCCGGACATCCCAAAATGCCCAAGTAATGATTCTAAGTACCCTCTGGTGATTTAACATAGCTATTGAAAATGGCCCATTTATAGATGGTTTACCTATTAAAAATGGTGAGTTTCTATAGCCATGTTAGTTTACCACAGTGTAAGTAATGGCCAAAGCTGCCCCTAACCAACATTAACCAACTACAACGCACCCTGGCCTCGTGGCCAAAAAAACAGCACTGCCAGAACTCAGTCATTGTTTTTCGCTCATCCTATCGAACCATCAACATCCACCAAGCTAGAACATTCACCGGCCGTCATACATGTGATACCGGATGAAATAGGTATCTATATATATATATAGATATATCTAGATCCAACTAAATACATGCATAGACTACATAGATATATGAATCATTCTATGCCATTATGCATGTTTTTTGAGTTGTTGAACACGGTTGAATTGTGAACTGTCATCACCTGGGCAACGCCAAGGCGCCCCTGGCGCCCCTGCTGGCTTTACCAAGGCTTTGGGGTCAAAGTGATCCACCTCCCTGATCAAAGTTTCCAAATCCTCCTCCTGCAACTTTGATGCAATTAGTGAGAAAATTACATCTCATGGGAATATCATTGGAATTTCCAAAGTTGATCATAATTAATGGGAATTAATATATGTATAATGGGATTTATAATGTGAATATCATGGGAGATATTAGTAGCATGACAATCCGCTACTAAGGGGGGTTGCTACAAGGGGAATCAGCCATAGGTAATCCCTTAGCTAAATATTAAACTATATGATATTAGATTACTATAGGTATAACGATATCATATTATCTATATAGGTAACTATATATATATATTTGTTGACATAATATTATATAATATCAACCATTGGTATTTACATTAGTATACATATATTAGTATGAATATTGCCCTCCGGTGCCATCCAACATGGCCGGAGGGTAGATGGGGGTGTTTGGGAAAACTGGTGAAAAAATCACTTGGGATCCAGCGCCAGAAACATGAGGGAAGTTCTGGAAAGTTCCAGTTGCTTCCGATTGTGAGGGGGATGATACCAAGCAACCACATCAAGAAATGGTCATGAATGACCAAGGAAACACATAATACCCTTGGGCAAAACAATCTACTTGCAAGAGGCAAATCATGTAGATATGTGATGTGAGAATCTCAGCGCCAGGTTATAAAACCAAAGGGCAAATGCCCCAACAAAATTGCAAACTGGACACCGTGAGTGGAACTCTGGTCAATGTAGCAACTTTCAAATGTGGACCACGAATTGCTACACTCAAGGTGGAATGTGCATGGGATTCTGGCGGCTTCCAAATCAAATCGCCATGGCGATTTAGCGCCATAGATGACAAGTTATCGCCAGTTCAAGCGGCGCATCACAGCGCATCACGGTTCATGGTTTCCAGGCTTGGATTTTCTCACAATCTCACAAGTCAATGCAAATGACTCAAATGATTTGTGAGAAAATCATGGTCAATCTTTGGTCATCAAACAAATTAATCCTTTGCTGGTTATGGTTATTTTCCATGGGGCAATCCATGGAAAACCCCATGAAATGCCAGATGCCAGCAGGGCCAGCTGCGCTGCCCATCCTCATCTTGCTTAAAGGGGCCTTCCAGCTTCACCTAGGGCGCTGAAGTGTTCAGCAGATGTGAGACTTGTTCTTGGAAATGACAAAAATGAGCCATGGAATCTTGGAATTGAATTGGTTTCGGAAATCTCCACTGCATGCAAATTATCGATTCTATGATTCTATGAACTACATGATAATGATAGGTTATACAAATTATACAAAAATATGCTATCTATCTATTTATCTATTTATCTATCTATCTAACTATCTATCTATATCTATCTATCTATCTATCTATCTATATATCTATCTATATCAATCAATCAATCAATCTATCTATCTATCTACCTACCTGTCTATCTATCTATCTACCTGTCTATCTATCTAATCTAATCTACTCTAATCTATCTACCTATCTGTCTATCTATCTATCTATCTACCTGTCTATCTATCTATCTAATCTAATCTAATCTATCTATCTACCTGTCTATCTATCTATCTAATCTAATCTAACCTAATCTAATCTAATCTAATCTAATCTTATCTATCTATCTAATCTATCTAATCTATCTTATCTATCTTATCTGTCTTATTTATCTTATCTATAACATTTTTATTATCTATCTTATCTATCTTATCTATCTTATCTATCTTATCTATCTTATCTATCTTATCTATCTTATCTATCTTATCTATCTTATCTATCTTACATCTCTTATCTATCTATCTATCTATCTATTTATCTATTTATCTATTTATCTATTTATCTATTTATCTATCCATCCATCTATCTTTCTTTCTTTCTATCAACTTATCAATCATATCCATCATCTTCACCAGAAAGTTGTGCTTCCCAAGCTAAAAACAAGAAACTTTCGGGCGTCTCCAGAATCTGGTCATGCCAAGCCCAGCGGTTCCGTCCAGTAATCATGAGCTGCACTGGGTAAGAAACCCATTGATGGTTTCAATCACGGTTATTGGGAAACACATAAGAATGAGTGGGTAATACATTGATGAATTTTGCGAAACTAGGATGATTGCTGTTAGATTCTTAGTGGTAAGAACCAAGATTGCAAGCCGGTGAACATGCACCCATTGGCACACGATTGCTACCGGATTGGCGTGTCAGTGGATCAAAATATGGGGTTTCCATGGGTTTGCCACGTCTGCCAAGCGGCCTTCTTTGGAATACGATTTTCCAACTTAGTTGGATCCTGGGCGGACCCGGCAAATGTGATGTTTCACGGCACCACACAATGCAACAAAAAAGGATGGAACGGCAGATTCGGCAGATTGATATATCTTACATGGATATCATATACCTCAAACACAACATATGTGTTCTACACATGTGCATACCTACAAACGAGTTTGGCAAGAATCTTGTGAAATCGTCACAATTCAAAATTGTCAAAGCTACAAACGTATGTTGAAACGACAAAGGGAAAAAAACAAGACATTCACTGGACTTATGAAAAGGGGTAGGTATGATTCGGTATGATTTTGATTTGTCACTCTGCAAACCAACATCTCATTTTATCATATAGATATGTCATAGTTGGGCACCCCAATCATTACTTGGTGGTTCATCCCACTTACCAAGTAGGAAAAAAAAACCCAGTTCTAAGTGGATTAACCCTACAAAAATCCCACTTATAACCAGGGATATAACCTACTTAGGATTCGTGGGATGAGCCACTAAGTAGTACCAAAGATATACTATCTGTCTCCCCACGGAGCTGAACTGGAAGGTGGGGGCTGGTCTCCAGCGACTCTTTGGTTGCCAAGATTCCATGTGCGCATTGGAACATGGTGGCTGGATCCTATCTATAAATAACTTGAAATATTTATATAAATGATGATATCTCCTAGCTGATCGTTGGAGATAATTACAATATTACAATATTATCATACTCCAATTGCACGCCATAAATACCAATTGGTGGCAATGAACGAAATCTGAATTTTATTGGCTAACGCTAAGACAGGCTATGACAGACTTACAGGTCCCTCAGGTTGCTGAACCTAAAAAATTGGGCAATCCTCCATGGTTCCGCCCCTTTCCATTGAATCCAGGCTTTTCCAATCATAAAACACCATAAACTCCATAAACCAGAATAAAACCGCTCTTTCCACCGACCAAACCATCAAAAACGCATCATCAAAACGCAATGTCCTACTATAAAACGCTTCAAGAAACACATTGTCTTCCCATTAATCGTAAATTCATGATAGACCCACAGGCTGGTGCCCCCTAGTCATAAGTTGGTTTCTAGGCCTCCATCAACTATAGATATACCCTCTGGTAAACGTTTACATAACTATGGAAAATCGCTATTTTGAATGGGAAAATCCACGAACTAAGTAACTAAATTGCCATTTTCCATGGTTTTTTCTATGTTTACCAGGCGGGGTATATGTTGGTCCGTTGTCCCCGTCCATCGAGCGTCCGTGGGTTTCAACGCGGTCTTCAACGGCTCGGTGGCCGAGCGCTGGGCCAAGGCTTGGGCGGCCCGTTGCTTGCCGGCCGACACGGCCGCTTCGGCCGCTTGCAGCTGGAGCACCGGCATGGCAAGCTGGAGACTTCCTAAGGTGGTGAGATCAATACGAACAGTCAGTGACAACCAATAGTAATATAGTGCCTATAATGACAGAATATTGCTATATCGCTATAGTTATGATGACTATTGTGTCGATCTTATTAACATCTTGTGACGTGATGATAATCGTATACCATCAATGCAGCAACAAAAATCATAGAAATAGAAATAAACAAGTAACAACAACGAAAAGAACAATACAATAGTATGCAACAGTAATAAATCTATATAAATCTGTGTAATTACATATGAGCATTAAATACTCTGATGTTGAAATCAATTTATAGTGCTATTGTCTGCAATTGTGTCTCGCGAAACTGCATGCATTGTGTCCCTTGCGTGACTTGAGCCGGCGCTTTTGCGGCTGCGACTCCATCTTTGCTGTGGCGTTTTCACCCATCACTTTGAGGGATCATGCTATAGATCAAACATGTCATGAAAAGAATCTACCCTTCAGATGGTTTTCAAAGAAAATCTTGCATTCTCCATTCAGATATTCCCTTCAACCAACTCTAAGAAATTCGAATGATTAATAAAATTGCTTATAGTTTTATAGTTTTAGAAAGTAACTGATCTCACAGCCCCAAAAAACTCCAACCCAATCTAAAGCTTTTATAACTAACTAACTAACTAACTAACTAAACTAAACTAACTAACTAACTAACTAACTAACCTACCTATCTATCTATCTATCTATCTATCTATCTATCTATCTACTGTATCTACTGTATCTACTGTATCTACTGTATCTACTCTATCTATCTATCTATCTATCTATCTATCTATCTATCTATCTATCTATATCTGGTCAGGTCATAAGTCCAAATTTCAATACATGAAGGACAATAATAGCAAAACTTAAACGTGCGTACAATTATACCAATCGAAATCAGTTGATCATCTGTTTTTTTCAAGGCCTGGAATCGCTGAAGCTGGCGGTAGCCAAAGATTCGTGCCAGGTCTTCTGGGGGCATTTGTTGTGACATGGAAGAATCATGAACAATCCATATATGGAGAGCATCAAGAATTCCAAAGGTCATTTCTTGCGCCAAAGCGGTGGCCTTGCAACTTTCTCTTGCGATACTCATCTCAGCTGGAGAAAATCGGTCGATCGTGTGCCAAAACTCGGAATCTCCCGCTGCCAAGAATGGAAGAGGATAGTGTCGTTGATCATTTTCACTTCAACTCCCATATGATCCAAAACCTAAAAGGACCTGGTGCCATCCCCAAAAAGTTGCAGCCTGTTGTTGTAATACTCCCGGTTCTGGCGAGGACAGGCATCAAAATTGAGCCCGGCACCTGCTGAGGAACCCCTGGGTGCATCCCAATGAATCAACCATGGTTTATTCATCCGGGCTTGGCATAAAGTAGGAGTAACCGGAGTAACCCATCCCATGAAAATGGGTGAACAACATCAACATTTAATTGGGGTGTGGGTGAACAACCCGTAGATCCATGGGTGAGCCAGATTCATTGTAACGTTCGTAATCCAAGCAAGGATCCACTTGAGCTCCTGCAGATGCCAGGATCGACTTGAAACATTTTGATGTATGGCTCAAAAATGGGGTGTCGTTTCTTACCCGCGCAAAATTGGCTCTGCTTAGATCGTATCTACCAATCCCAAAACATTGGGGAATAATTCTGAGCCTTACCCATATCTTGAATGTCTTGATACCTCACTGCCACCGCTGGATTCTCTTCACTCTTTTAGTGGGTCAGTTGAGTGCGTTTGGTCCATGATGGGCAAGTCCAAAACATGTCACCGGTGGGGCCGGTGGGGCCAGCGTGATTTACACTCCGTTCTTTGAAAAACTGGGAAATGAGGTCAAACTATAGACGATGATCTACCTAGGGAAAAAATGTTGTTCTTCCTAGTTATCTTGTATGCTGAACAGTGCAGAGCCACCAACTTTCATGACTTGAAGGCTTAGTGGTCCCATGAATTCACTCAAGCCCCCAACCAGCCGAGCAGCAGTTCCAGTATGAGCCAAAACCACGGATGGAGCACCCACGGAGCTTCAGTTTGAAGGGCAGGGTAAAGCCGTCCACCATACTCCTAAGGCCCAACACTCCCTCTTCCAGCTACCTGCTTGTTAAAGGTAACTAACCCCAAAATCAAATCGTCAAATCACCATGGTTACCTATCTCAGAGGTGTAACTTTGTTCAAAAGCTGACGATGTCACCGATATCGAGGAATTACCCCGCCCAACCACACAAGTCTTGAAGTTTTTGGCCCGTCCTTCAAAACAGGCTCGTTCGGGGTATGTAGGTCTTAGTAAGTTTCCAAACATTCAACTCGAGATTCTCTCTCTCTCTCTCTATCTATCGCCTTCTCCAATTGAGATTGATTGGGCGAACCATTTTGTCCAAGATGTGATTCCAAAGGTGTTGAACAGTTCTCTTTTTCTGTCCCAAGCGCAACCAGCTCCATGGTCCGGTCCAAGTGGCATGTCGAAATAATCCGTTCGTCCTCCGAAGCTGGCCTCAAACTTTGTGTCTATGTGCCTCGGCTCAAGGGACCCCACACACGGAGGGTGGAACCGCGGCCTCATAGAGGAAGTGGGCCGCGAGACGTTGAAACCTAGCAACTTATTATAGCTCCATAGGGAATCAAGGGAAATTCCATAGCCATAGCCCCGTTTGTTGCTATGAAATCCGAGCATCATGCGCATGTTCAATCCATATTTTTCGATGTGATTTGGCTCCCGAGTGCTGTCATGACATCCCAAAGAGAGCCCTTGGTGAATCTCATCATCTCAAGGTGCACAACTTAAGCCTCAATTAGTAGGTCTCCGAAAGATCCTATCGTGGTTTTTAGCCAATGTCATACCACATCCCCAAACGGTCGTGTTGAGTTTGGCTTTACCATATATGGCTCTGAAAATATGGTATACCCCAGAAATCCCATGGGTTTTTATAGCCATGTTCCCACGACATGGCCATAAATCGGGGTATCATCAGTCTTGCCAAGAAAAATAAGTTCCCTATTTCAAGGTATTATCAGGTCTGGTTGAGCTATGGTAGCGTCCCTCAAAAAAAGGCCCTCCAGGCGGAGAATTTCCGCCCAGAAACGGTTGGCATTTCCAGTTCCCATCAGTGCCACAGGGCTGTCCTCGTCCTCCACTCTGACCAATGCGACAGCCGTTGCCATTGGAGTTGCACCTGGTGGAAGCTATAAAAGATCCCTTTTCATCAATATGAACTTTATATAATATATATATATATAATATTAGTAATTAGATGCAGTAATACAAACATAAAAATATATATATATATGAGACAAAAACAATTTAAAATAAATATATAAATATAATAACAACTAAATGGAAATTGAAATATACTAATAAACATCAAGTTTGAGTCATACAAGAACTCCATTTGAACAACAAATTTGGTGACGATACATGGTCAAGTCATGGCGGGCCCTGACCACTTGCACGACCTTACGTCAGGTATAGTCAGGGGAAACCCTGATGCCCCTGGTTCCTGAGATGTTAAATATATTTATAACTATATTTGGATATGATACTGTAATTATATTGTGATATCAATTATATGTTTGATATTTGGATATTTTAATGTTAAAATACATGATATTACATGATGTAATACTGTATTTCAAATACCTGGCTTTCACCATGGCAGAGATGGGCCAGATTCTCAGATGGGGAAGCGCCTCAATTTCGGCCACAAACGAAAGCCCATGAGCCCGGCATAGGCAGGGAAGTCATGCGAGGCCCCAGCCTTGGAGCCAATTCAGCAAGCATGAGATGGGGCGTGGCATGGCATTCCCATGCCATCCAAATAAAAATAGACCCTGACCCTGCCATTCAGGGGTTGGAAGGCTACATTTTCAGTATCTACTCCAGGAGAACTATATTTGACATATACATATATATATATATATGTGTGTGTGTATTTAAATATATACATATACATATATATATATATATGTATATATATATAACTTATATCTGTGTGATATTATATCCATATGGGAAATGCCAAAGCTCCAAACACTAAAAAAAACAAGTAAGGGAGGGTCATCCCGCAGATGGGAAGTGGTTCATAACCCTGGTTCCCAAGTCCACCAAGTGGGTCATTGCTACTATGCGAAGCACTAAGCAGATGCGATCCGTGGGTTGATCCTCCAAGCAGTGGGCTATGTCGCAATATGTCGCAATCACTGCGGGGGAGAAACCTCAATCTTCACGTTCTGGCGATACTTGTAGTTACCTGGGCTAGCTCGCAGCGCGCGAGCTGTGTGGTGCAGTAAGCAGTAAGTGCATGCCAAGTGTCAAAGGAAACATGTTCACACATCATTCCAAAAATCTTCACAAAATACATGCAGTGACAATGGACTTAGACTAAAACACTTCCGGTGATATAACGTGATAATGATAAACTTAGTCTTCAAAAGTAAGGCCAAGGACAGGAGGTATTGGGGAGAATTATTCTCCACAAGGCTTCCCAAAAAGATCCATTGTTGATTCCAGAAAATATCCCGGGCGATCCCCACCAAGCGATCCCCAGCTCCCCACCAAGCTCGCTAAAAAGGCCTTCCTGCTACTCACTGCACCCTTAAGGTGGTGTCCCATAGTGCGCTAAGATAATTCGGAACTATATACTATGTTGCTAGCAAATCTATGGATGTATGAATATGCGTGGTGGTTCCAACATAGTCAACGTATTCAAATCATAATTGGGTTTGTCTGAAAATAGGGTATATTCCCAATTATAGCCATTTAATAGGGATAATGATCATCAAACATTGGGTTTAGGGGTACACTATTTTCAGACACACCCAATTATAGCTTGGTGATGTTTCACCTGGCTTACCCTCCAGTCAATTCACAGTTCGATCCTGCCATGAGCCGGGGCTTGGAAGACTGCCACTACAGACTGGCCATGTTCATGGTCTATGTTAATTTACTGGGGGGATTTTGCTTAACCCAATCCTCAACCGTCCCATCAACCAACCATTTGGGGGCTACAATAAATCATCCTACATCGTCACATCGTGGTTATTATACACAACAATAAACCAAAATCGGAAAATGCGTTTCTTACTGGGTTTACGACATCCGGATAAATTATCATATTTCACTAACCTGAAATGTTGGGCCATTTGGAGATGATTCCCCCTTACTAACCATGATTCCAGTGTTCAGTCACAGTGAGGTCACTCAACTTTGCCAAAAACCACATTCTCTCTCGATCACCATCCCCCCAAGCCACATTAGTGACTAGTGTTATCAATAAACAAAACACCAAACAAATGTGGAAAAAAACACCTAAAACCACAATAAACCACCTAAACACATCAGAAAAAACCCGGGTGCGCCACAACAGCTTCTGCTCCACGCTGCAACAATGGGCCATCCAGACCGCCTCGCCAGCACCATTGATCACCCGGATGGTGGAGCCGCCTCGTGCCCCGCGCAGCTGCGGAAGGCTCGTTCCGTTGGGAAGTGGAACCTGGAGCAATGGATGGGTTTAGATGGATTTTAGGGGAAAATGTGCCGGAAACGATGGTTTTTACCACGAAATATAACTGGGTGGTGGGCTTAACCCATCCCAAAAAATATATAATCATATGAGTAAGGCAATGTAAAATCCACTATGTTTGTGACATTACCAATCTTACCCTGCAACAAATTAAATTCTTTGCGTCCATGTAAGATTGACCTAGGTGATTGTTCTGGGATTTCCCTGCTTGCCACATTTGATGACACAGGAGGGTAAATGTTCAACCAATTCTGGGACTGGATACGTCTGCAACAGATGGTTTTAATACGGCGACCCCATAGGACCCGGGAGAATATCCGTATGTCTACAGACATATACATATACATATACATATCATACCATACCCATTGCATTACATTTCATTGCATGCCATTTCATTACATTTCATTACATTGCATATTATGTAACTATATAGATTTGTTTATATGTATATAACTATATGTATATAACTATATGTAAATACATAATATATATATATATACATATGTGGTTAATAATATATTGTGTCATGGTCAAGCTACTACCGGGTAACCCTTCGCACGCGCTTTGCCCATCTCTAAGCACGGCCCCATGGGATGACCATAAAAAAGGTGACCCTGCTCTCCCGGCCCGCAGCCTTTTCCTTAAATCTTGTTGGATAGTAAAAATCTGTAAAAATGTGGTTAAAAACCATCATAAACCACCCATTTTCCTGGGAATGGTAACCATAAAAAAATCATCTATAATCTATAAAAATTGTGTTTTTCCTGGGGGGATAGTTTATGATTGTTTTACCCACATTCTGCATATTTGGTGGTATCCTGGGCTTAAATCAACCACGCTAGAACAGCCAATGAACCAACATAGATGCAACCAATCACCGATGGTTATCAGCATCCAGGGACTCTCAGGACATCCCAGGCACTTTTATTGTACCATTCGTAGCTTTGCCCTCGCTGTTCAGCGTAGTGTTGCTGTGGTTGGTGCCATTGAGCGCAGCGGCGCCGGCCCAGAGAAGGAGAAAGTAAGCAGAACGGGCCATGGCTGGGGAATCTGAGAAGCCCAAAAAACTGCGGGAAGTTGCTGGGAATCGAAAATCTAATGCTGGGATTCATGCTGGGATGATGGGGCCAAAGGTTGAGTCTTTCGGGTCAAACACTGCAAAGATCTAATGATATCGGAACGTTTGTTCTTTCACAAAACCGGGTCAGGGAATTTCAAGATTGTCGCCTTGTTTTTTGGTGGAATTAGAGAACAGCTAAAACAGTTATCCACCATTTTGATCCACCAAGTTAGCCACCAACCCAGCCTTAAAACCAAGATCCAGTCATCCAGTTTTAATCCATGCTTCTCTCTCTGGGTGGCAGCAAGCCCATCTGAGGATTGAACCTGATGATTGCCACCTGCAAAGCAGCTCAATGGGCACAGCTTTCCTGCTGTCCGACACATGACAATATATAGGAAACCCTAAGCCCAAAACAAAATGATAAAACAGTTTGTTCCATGTCTTTGGGGGTTGTGAAGCTTCAAAAAGACCGCAATCGCAATGCGATACACAAGTTCAGACTCCTTGGGAACTTTCGCTACCAGGATGCTCCCTTCTTTGGGACAAGACAACCAACCTAAGAAAAAAAATATACCGGAAGCTACAGAAAGTATGTTGCTTGCGATATTTTCGGGAACCCCAACATTTATTTCTCCAGGTTTTTGTTGGGCGCAATCACTCGTGGCGCCGGCACATGGGATCCTAAGGTCCCTGACTTAATCAAGACCATCTTAATACATCTTAATACCTCATCTGATTGTTGTTTTCAACCTCCATTCCTGGAACATATATGCAAATATATGCAAATACTAGGGCAGGGACCATCATCTCATGATCAATTGTAGGTGAACATTAAATAATGAACCCACCAAGCAGTAATGTTTGGAGGATAGCTTCCATTGCGACCACATTGCCACCTTGCACCCATTTTGATCCGCCCGGAATCGGGTCGGCGCAGTCCCAAGTTTCAATGCTTGGATCAGTCTGGCGTTCTTTCAGAGGGGTCTGAACATTGGGCACCCATGGGCGCCCCAAAATCCATTGCTTCATCATGTCATCATTTCTTCCATCGATGCCATGGGGGAAGTTGTTCATCCCGAACTGGTCCAATTTTTTCCTGAAACCACGGAAGTTTCAAACCTGGAACCTGCCCTCGTGCATACCACACGGGTAATTGGCGCTCCGGAGTCAACGAGTTGATCCGCTGATTTTATGCCCGCGCAAAAATTTGCGCCGAATTAATGAAACTGCAGCAAATGTACCATCTTCCAGGCGCAAGAATCACATCCTCTCGGTGCTGTGTTTTGCTGAAGTCACTTGTGATCACTTGTGCCTCAGACCTTTTTTTATTTGCTTCAAATGTGGGTATGATTTATGACCGTACTAAGGTGATAAACATCACAAAAATTACACATTTTAGACACAAACACTGTTTGGTAGTTCATGAAAGGTCCTTGGGATCGTCAACCTCTAGAAAAAGTACACGAACAACTAAATATCAAAAATTACCTAGCCTCTGGTACTTTAAAATAGCTGTGGAAATGTCCTCTTTTAACAGGTAAATCATCCATAAATGGGCTTCTAGGCCATGTCTTCACCTCCGATTTTCACCTGCCACCGGCTGGCACACAGGATCTCCGTTGCCGCCTGCAAGTGATCGGAGGTTTGTGTTTCATAATTCCTTGAAGCGGGGGGATAACCAACATCAATATATTTACAGTACATAATTATATATTATATATATATATATGTGGGTGTGTGTATGTATGCACCAGTAGTTTTGGATCCAATACTAAATAATACTAAATACTAAACCCCTTGGTTTCAAAAGGGTGGTATTTCATATTATGAATATGTTGGGGGAACAGATTCGTCTTTCCTTTCCATAGTGTGAATGCAAGACAAAGACACTCATGGGTGATCAATACTGGGAGGTATCATCTTGAACATATGGATCTATGTGGCAATTTCCCATTTTCGGCGTACGTTCCAAAATCTCAGGGTTTGTCAATGCAGCGTTGGCAATGCAGGGACAGAAAACAGGAGAAAGTGTTTGCTTCTGGAGCCTCATTTTTGTTGGAGATTCCTGTGGATTTCAGGAACGAAACCATGATTTCGATCTAATTTTGTTCTTTCTTGATACCTACAGTATTCTGTGAATTTAATGCATTTGTACAGGGGTTGAGCTAAGAGATCCCCAACCCACAGATGTTTGGTAATCATTAGTGCACATTAAAATGTCATGAAATAATATGACACACATATATATATATACATTTACCACATATTCCCTTTGGCCCTATCAAACTATAGTTACAAACTCCAATGTTTTTCACAAACATGAACAAACACAAAATATTTTTCAAAATCCCATACCATGTATTTAGGTCTCCTAAATTTGCGTGAAATCAATTCTATGATGCTCGACAAACACGCCAAAAACAACCGCAGTTGGTTAGATTTTCCCGTTGAAACTTGACGGTTCCGTCGGGGCCTCCTTGCACCTCATTGTGGCATCCCAAACTGCGCCATCTTAGCCCAGAGCCGCATCTCCCCTGGCGTTCGAGACCCTGGGAATTGATGAGAGAAACAGCGGAATGGAGGTTTTTTAATGTTTTACGGTCATTATCTCACTTTTTTGATAATCAGAATAATGTTGAAACATGTATGATTTAAAATTGATTTGTTTACTTCTATTATAATTCTTAGGTTTGTTGATGTTTGTCGTTATGTAGTTTTTGCTTTTTCTTGGTATTTATCAGTAATAATGGAGACCCCATCCGATAACGATTTCCCATTTGGAAGTGGTTGATAAGCTCCAGTTTTCAACTGTAGCGTGTAGGATCATGTAGGCACTAAAAAATGATGACCGGAATCTCCAGTTTCGACCCACATCATCCCATATTATCTCCACATTGGGTTTGTACATTGGGTTTGTCCCGACTTTTTCGTGGAACAGCATGTGAATTTCCTTGTACCCTCTGGTAAACAAACATAGCTATTGAAAATTGCCATTTAGTTCGTTGATTTACCTATTAAAAATGGTGATTTTCCATAGTTGTGTAAACGTTTACCAGAGGGTAATTTTGGGGCACCGCATTGTCAAACAAACCCACATAGTGATGTCACTAATACCGTTACTGATCCAGCCGGTTGGCTCAAGATATCCCATATCACATTGTTGGTTATTATATGATGTATCCAATTAAATCCCAACTATCTATCTATCTATCTATCTAATCTAACCTAATCTAATCTATATAATCTAATCTTATCTAATCTAATCTAATCTTATCTTATCTATCTATCTATCTATTATCTATCTATATACATACCCTCCGGTTATTTAACGTAGCTATAGAAAATCCCAAATTTTCATAGGTAAACCATCTATGAATGGGCCATTTTCCATGGCTATGTTAAATAACCAGAGGGTATATATAAATATCCCATTGTATCCCCATTGAAAAAACTTCGTAGACATCCATTTTTTTGGTTGGCGAAATCCACCCAGTTGGCTTTCCCAGCTACCTATCTCTCTCCAACGCTTTTGAAGGAGTTCAGCAGAGTTACAGGCAAGTAAGGTACAACTGCGCTAGGCCGAAAAGGAGTGCCATCAACCGATCTGGTGCACAAATTGTTTTATTATTCCTCCCAGTCACTGATCCATGGTAAATACCTGGATAAATTTATAATCCTTTAGCCACCTGAAAAAATTGTCATATGAGGATATTTCATGATATTTAGACATTACCCGCCATAGTTCTCATTGTCGGTCAACATCTCGTAAAATTCCTGTACCCTCCAGTAATCAAACATGGTTTGCTAAGCATTCCCCATAATAAATGATGCTGATGTCTTTCCCGGTTACAGTATAAACCTCCATCTCTGAAAGATTTCCCGCCTTGCCAGGTTTGATTACCCAATCATTATGATATCACATGATACTACTGTTGTTAGCTACAAGCATCCCCAGCATATCCGGAAAATTTCATTAACTCCCATAAATCAAAAAGTTGTAAGTTATAATATAAAAAATAGTGATATCACAGTCACCAAAACAAACATGAAAAACTGCTATAGGGGATTTTCCCTATATTTTCTTGTGATTTTCCCATTAAAACCTCCATTTTTCAGCAGCCCGCAATGTTTTTCAGCACCCCTCGCGGATCGCGATCGCTCCGTCCTTGAAAAGCGTTCATGGCACTGGCCGCCAAGCCTTCCTCGATTGACTGCCGTGCCTCGTCCAAACGCAAGCGCAGAGTGGAGATCCTTAGGGTGAAGGCAGTTAACAGGTGGTCCATTTTTTGGTGTCTAATATGTTATTGATTACTTGTTGCATGTATACATGCAAAATTGTTGTCATACAAATCAGATGTATCTCGTATATTTCATAAATTTAGCAACAACATACAATAATGTTTACAACATACTCCGCACTAAATTGAATATGATATGTGCGTACCCAATATTAAATAATAGGATCTGTGACACAGTACAAGTGTACTATTTGTTAATCTATCATGTATGTATGCATGCATCTGGGTAAACTATAATATCCCTGGGAATCGATGATTGCAAATATGCACATTTGAGGCATGATGTCAACATGTTGCATACGGAGGCAATGATGCCAAATGTTGCTAACATTTGTTGGTACCCATAAAAGTCCATTAAAAGTCCATCAAATGTATGAGGAATCACACCATCACCCATTGCGGCTCTCCAGGTACAACACATCATGGCGTTAGGAAGTCAAATTTATCATTTCTTAAGAGGCATCAACCCCTCATTGTTGAGCATCCAAAACATGTGATCAGCGGTGAAAGAAACACAATGTGTGGAAAACATCAATAATATCGCTAAACATCAAGAACATTCTTTCAAGAAACTCAAGTTTAACAGGGCCCCAAAAGGTGCATGTTTCTCTTTTTGGCGTATGAAACGCCATTTGGCAAAGCTTAAGGCTGCCAAGGCCACTAGCCATGGTAAATCGA